TAAGGATAACGAGGTGGAGAGGCAGAGTTTAGACATCTTTAACTTCCTTTCTTTTTTTTCTTTTAGAAAAGAGCTTTGCTTTTGACATAATTCAGGCTAACAGTTTCTAGATTTCTTAACGGGTTCAGCCTATATTAGGTTCAGGCGCTGTGAGATATTTTTTTTTCTTTCATTAAAAAAAAAGCACGAAAAAATGAACAAGAGGAGCTCGTCTGGGATTGACTTGCACCTCCCTTTTTTCTTTCCACAGTCCTTAATATTCGATGAGGTTGACCTGTCGGATGCCAGCGTGGCTGAATCGAGCACCAAAAATGTCAACAATAGCTTCACGGTAGGTGACCTGTGTATTGGCAGCTCCGAAGAGGCCACTGAAAGCTTTGAAAGTTTGATTTTTGCTTTGAGAACAGGGAGGAGAAATAAAAAAAAGTCAATTTATTGGTTCGATTTATTTTATTGGTTCGATTTATATGCCGCCCTTCTCCGGAGACTCAGGGCAGCTTACAATGTGTTAAGCAATAGCCTTCATACTTTTGTATATACCTGCTTAGTAGGGCTTTCAGTGTTCTTTTTTATACAAAGTCAGCTTATTGCCCCCACAAACCGGGTCCTCATTTTATCTACCTCGAAAGGATGGAAGGCTGAGTCAACCTTGAGCCTGGTGAGATTTGAACTCGCGGTAATTGCAGGCAGCTGGTTCTATTTAACAGCACTTTAGTCTGCTGCGCCACCAAGGCTCTTTGAATAATATATTCAAATATATCGAATAATATATTGTATCTTATTTTATCTTATTTTATCACTCAATACAAATGTTATACAGAAGAATAGATTGGAACAAAAATTTCTTCAGAAAGTCTCAGAAACATGGCAATTTAGGCACACCCAAGTCTCTTTGGGTTGATATACGATACAGGGAGTCCTCGACTTACGACGGTTCATTTAGTGACCATTTGAAGTTACAACGCCACTGGAAAAAACGTGACTTAGGATCATTTTTCACACTTGCCTGGACATGTGATCCAAATTCAGAGGGTTGGCAACTGGCATGGACTTACGACAGTTGCAGAGTCCCGGGGTTACATGATCCCTTTTCGCGGCCGTCTGACAAGCGAAGTCAACGGGGGAAGTTGATTCACTTAACAACCGTATGACTAACTTAACAAATACAACGAGTCACTTAACCACCAGGGCAAGAAAAGTTGCCCAACGGAGCCAACTTACTTCCCAAATGTTTCCCTTAGCGACATAAACGTTGGGCTCCATTGTGGTCGTAACTCGAGGACTACTCATAATTACATTAATCCTTTATTGCAGCCAATGCATAATTTGAAGTGGTTTGTTATGATGGGGGGTCCTTGACCTGTGACCATAACAGAGCCCAAAATTTCCCTTTCTAAGCGAGACAGTTGTTAAGTGAATTTTGCCCCATTTTACGACCCTTCTTGCCACCGTTGTTCAGTGAATCGCTGCGGTTGTTAAGTGAGCAACATGGTTGTGAAGCGAATCCAGCGTCCCCATTGACTTTGCTTGTCAGGAGGTCGCAAAAGGGGGATTTTGATCTCGTGTGACCCTGCGGATGCTACGACAGTTGTAAGGGTGAAAAACAGTCCCAAGTCCCTATTTTAATGTGCCATCGTAACTTTGGATGGTCACTAAATGAACTGTTATAAGTCGAGGATTACCCGTAATATCCCACAGGTATTAAAAAATGACCTCTCTGCTTACAGCCAATGAAATTCCATTTGCATTGCTGTTGCTTTAGCTTGAGTGGTGGCCTAGAGACAGATAGTTCTCTCTCTCGGCACAAGGAGAATATATCCGTTGAACAAAACTCCGCACTGGCGACGGGAAGGGCAACTGGCCAGTAAAACACTCTGCTAGCTCCGTTCAGTTGCCCAGACTCCACCCCGCAAGGGATTATGGGGGACATTAAAAGATGATGATGATGACGTTGCTTTAGCTTGTTGTCCATAGGCACACCTCCATTCCTACCCATGGTATAATTGCGTTTTCCAGAGTTCAACTTCGGAGGGAGTCCGTAAATCAGTTCTTGACTAGTAGTAGGAAGGTATGTAAAGAAACCAGAGGAAGTAGACAGTTGCTAATCCTCTAAGAGCATACTTATCTTCATGCCTTAGGACCTTTCTTTCGGGATTTGATGCAAACTGTTGGTTGCAGAAGGAAAAAGCAGAACAGAAGGAGATTTTGAAAAGCTTCCTTTAAAAAAAAGAGAGAGGGGGGGAAACAAAGACAGAGTTGCAAATGAGGCGGCTAGATAGATAAGGGGAACTACTACGATCCCAAAAGAATCTCTCCTAGTTATTCTTTATCCTGAGATATTTCAGTTTGATTTTTTTAAAAAAGCAGCCAACAAGGGTAGAAAACCTTCAGGGCTGAACTCCTGGATGGTCTCTGAGGTTGGTGGGGTTTTTTTTTTTTTTTTGGAAGATGTTTCATGGTGCAAATTAGGTAACATCATCACTGGTGTTACTGATGCACTGATGATGTTCCCTAGTTGGGTAATGAAACGTCTGCAAAAAAAACAAGCAAGCTCAGAGACCACTAAGAACCCCACAGTCCTCCCCTTCCCCTCCCCATCCTCCTCCTCCCTGCATACCACACTCCCTTCTGGCACTGATGCTATTCCCTAGTTGGGTAATGAAACGTCTGCAAAAAAACAAGCAAGCTCAGAGGACACCAAGGATCCCACAGCCCTCCCCCTCCCTTCCCCTTCCCCTTCCCCTTCCCCTCCCGTTCTCCTCCTCCTCCTCCTCCTCCTCCTCCTCCTCCTCCTCCTCCTCCTCCTCCTCCTCCTCCTCCTCCTCCTCCCTGCATACCACACTCTCTTCTAGCACTGATGATGTTCCCTAGTTGGGTAATGAAACTTAGATGGCTCAGCGGCTAAAACATTGAGCTTGTCGATCAGAAAGGTCGGCAGTTTGAATCCCTACCTGCCTGAGCAGGGGGTTGGACTAGATGACCTCCAAGGTCCCTCCCAACTCTATTACTGTCTGCCAGAAACCCCCAAGCTCAGACCCCTCATTTCAACCCTGAGCTGCAAATCTTCTCTTCTATCGGTACTTTCAGGGTTATCCACAAGGCCTGGGTAAAACAAGTCCAGACGATGGTTGCAACAGAGTGGACAAAGCCACACCTGTCTTTTACCTGGGGGTGTTTCTTGGAGAGCTTTGTTTTGTCCCACGTAAGTCGGCCTGCCATGCAAAAAAGGCCAAGGACAATGAAACAACGTCGTTCAGGTCTCTGCGTACAATCCTTTGTGATGCGAAGGTCTCTTTGGCTTGTTTTTCTTGCTTCCTGGGAGCAATTAAATTAGGGATGGGGGCTTTCCTGCAGGCAGGTGAGCTTCTCTGAAGGTGACCTCCCATTTGGAGTTGAAAAAGGAACCGATCTGCAGCCATTCAGGTGTTCGGTTGGAAAGAAAAACCCCTTTGTCTCTCGACCGCGCCCGCTCCTTATCGCTGAAATCTTCGGTTAAATATTGGATTTGTAGCCCTTTTTTCCTCCTTCGACATCAATGGAACAGGGCTGTCTCACCTGGCCCAGGAAGGTACAGCCATTCTGTTCTTAGCTTGATCAGATAAGGTGTAAAATCACCGGGCTGCTCTTTTACGAAGGAAGTCCTGTTTCCATTGACGAACCTTCTGGCTTCTGTTGCTTTTACCCTTTTGGATTTGTTTTGCTCCGAAAAAAAAAGGGCTTTGTTCTTTTGTTCTGGGGACATGGGAAAAATGAGAAGAAGGACCAGGCGGGGGGACATAAGAGCATCTTCCAGAATTCGGGGGACTGCCGTAAAGAAGAGGGGGGGGGGTGTTCAACTTAGTTTCCAAAGCAGGACAAGAAGCAACGGATGGAAACTCATCAAGGAGAAAAGCAACCTAGAACTAAAGAGAAACTTCCTAACAGTGAGGACAATTGACCAGTGGAACTACCTGCCACCAGAAGTTGTGCGTGCTCCAACACTGTAGGTTTTTAAGAAGAGACTGAACTGTCTGAACTGGTAGAGGGTTTCCTGCCTAAGCAGGGGGTTCGACTAGAAGACCTCCAAGGTCCCTTGTGCTCTCTACAAAAGTAAGAATTCACTTTCAAAGAACAAAATCGTTCTATGGAACACTCTGCATAAAACTCTGCGCTTTCTTTCCCTTAAGATTTTGGGGATATAATTTTCAAATAGCATAAGAATAAAAGTCACTCTCATGGAGAAATAGCATCCCAGTGAAATGGCTGTCCAGTCTTTTCTTAAAAGCCTCCAGTGTTGGAGCACTCACAAGTTCTGGTGGCAAGTTGTTCCACTGGTTAATTGTTCTCACTGTCAGGAAATTTCTCCTTAGTTCTAAGTTGCTTCTCTCCTTGATGAGTTTCCACCTATTGCTTCTTGTCCTGCCTTCAGGTGCTTTGGAGAATAAGTTGACTCCCTCTTCTTTGTGGCAGCCCCTCAAACATTGGAAGGCTGCTATCATGTCTCCCCTAGTCCTTCTTTTCATTAAACTAGACATACCCAAATCCTGCAACTGTTCTTTGTATGTTTTAGTCTCCGGGCCTTTGATCATCTTAGTTGCTCTTCTCTGCACTTTTTCCAAAGTCTCAACATCTTTTTTATACTGTGGTGACCAACACTGGATGCAGGATTCCACGTGTGGCCTTACCAAGACCTTAGAAAGTGGAGCTAACTCTTCACGTAATCGTGATTCTATCCTTCTGTTAATGCAGCCTGCGTTGGCTTTTTTTTTTTGCCAATTTGTCCCCAGAGCGAAGCATCCCTATCGGTGCTAAATCTGCTCGTTACGATAATCGACATCTAGTCAACATTTCCATGTTTCTCTGAAGGTGCAAATCGTACCCATCCACAAAACCCCTTTCTTGAAACGACAGTCGATAGCACAATCTTTCCCAGAAGTGCCTCTGTGGGCCGTAGACAATGCACAGAGGTGTTACGTGGGTCTGTTAAGCCCAGGTCCCCTGTGGAGCATTTTTATCTGATTGTTGGACGGAGATCCCGAGATGAATATCTCAAGGTGGCATACCGAGTGCTCCCTCCTCCCGTTTTCCCCCGTAACAACAATGCTGTAAATTAAGTAGGGCGGAGAGAGAGACACACACAGAGAGAGAGAAGGAGAGGGAGAGAGACTGAGAGAGACACAGAGAGAAAGAGAGAGGGGGGAGAGAGAGAGAGACTGAGAGAGAGGCAGATACACACACACACACAGACTGAGAGAGAAAGAGAGAAAGAGAGAGGGAGACAGAGAGAGACGGAGAGAAAGAAAGGGAGAGAGAGAGTGATTGAGAGACAGAGAGACAGAGAGAGAGAGAGGGAGAGGGAGAGAGACTGAGAGAGACACAGAGAGAAAGAGAGGGGGTGAGAGAGATTGAGAGAGACACAGAGAGACACAGAGAGTGAGGGAGAGGGAGAAAGAGAGAGATTGAGAGAGACACACAGAGACACACACAGAGAGAGGGAGAGAGACTGAAAGAGAGGCAGACACACACACACACACACACACACAGAGAGAAAGAGAGAGGGAGGGAGACAGAGAGAGACACAGAGAGAAAGAGAGGGAGGGAGAGAGAGATTGAGAGAGAGACAGACACACATACACACAGACTGAGAGAGAGAGAAAGAGAGGGAGGCAGGGAGACAGACACAGGCAGAGACACAGAGAGAAAGAAAAAGGAGGGAGAGAGAGAGATTGAGAGAGAGACAGAGAGACACACAGACACACACTACAGAGAGAGAGACACAGAGAGGGAGGGAGACACAGAGAGACACAGAGAGAAAGAAAGGGAGGGAGAGAGAGAGAGAGACAGACACACACACACACACACACACACACACACAGAGAGAGAGAGAGAGAGAGAGAGAGAGAGAGAGAGAGGTGTGTGTGTGTGTGTGTGTGTGTGTGTGTGTGTGTGTGTAGGTGAACCTGAGGTCACTTTATGAGTTCCTCTGGAGCCAGATGGCTTCATTTCTTCAACGTCCTTGTTTCCAGAAGTCCTAGCTCAAGTCCTCCTTCTGATCTTCTTCCTAATACTTGGGTGGGTGAAGAAGGAACCTAAGCAAAGGTGAGTGGAAGAGGTCCATTATCTTTCCCTCTGGTTTTCTCTCTTTCATTCTTTCTTTCGGTTGGTTAACTGGGAATCCGGTCTGGTTGACATCACAGTTCAACTTCCAGTACCTTCCCAGTAAAGGTAGTCCTTGACGTACGACCACAATTGAGCCCCAACGTTTCTGTTGTTAAAGGAGAACATTTGTGACGTGAGTTTTGCCCCATGGTACGACTTTTCTCGCCATGGTTCTTCAGTGAATCCCTGCCGTCGTGAAGCTGGTGACAGTATAGAATTAGCTAAGGTTTCGTGTAACCAGAGATTGCCGTGCTCACCAAAAACGCAGCACAACCTGACAGACGGGGAAAGCTGTCCATTATCCGAGTTGATTGACATTCCCATTCAGATGGGTCACCCTATCAGTCCTAAATTCAAATATAATTTCTCTGATCTGAAATTCTTCAGGGTTATTAAAACGAAGACAAAACAATATAGTGTATAACTGACTTCTGGGAAACAGCAGGTTTAAGAACATGAAGCAACGTATTTTTCCATCCTGGTTAGATTCGTTGCTTGCTATATCTTTTTACCTTTCTGGAAACCACATTTTGGAAAGCTTAAATGATGCCATAATCTATTTATATCAGTAGAACACAATTCCAGAATCTGAATTTCCACGTAAAGATCCACTAGAACAGGGTCTAATTTGATAATCCTGGTTTAGCCCCTTACAGACCTCTTAGGAATGTGGTGAGGTTGACAGTAGACAGTCTAAGGTTAAAGTTTTGGGGATTTGGGGAAGAAACCACAGAGTCAGGTAGTGCATTCCAGGCGTTGATAACTCTGTTACTGAAGTCATATTTTCTGCAATTGAGTTTGGAGCAGTTTACCTTGAGTTTGTATCTATTGTGTGCTCGTGTATTGTTGTGGTTGAAGTATTCATTGACAGGTAGATTGTGGCAGATAATTTTATGTACTATGCTTAGGTCAGACTGAAGTCGGCGTAGTTCTAAGTTGTCTAAGCCCAAAATTTGGAGTCTGGTGGCATAAGGTATTTTATTGCGGTTAGAGGAATGGAGGACTCTTCTCGTGAAATATCTCTGGACTCACTCGATTGTATTAATGTCCGATATGCAGTGTGGGTTCCAGACAGATGAGCTGTATTCAAGAATTGGTCTAGCAAATGTTTTGTATGCCCTAGTTAGCAATACAATATTATCAGAGAAGAAGCTACGCAAGATTAGGTTTACAACTTTTAATGCTTTTTTGGCAATGCTGTTACAGTGAGCTCTGGCACTTAGATCTTTAGAGATGAGTACTCCAAGGTCCTTGACAGAGTGAGAGTCTTCTACGAGGTCGTATCCTCCCAGCTTGTATTTGATGTTCTGATTTTTTTGCCAATGTGTAAGACAGAGCATTTCTTGGTTGAGATCTGGAGTTGCCAATTGTTTGACCATTCTGATACATAGTCGAGGTCTTTTTGTAGAGTAGCAGCATTGTCGATGGTGTTGAATAGTTTTACATCATCCGCAAAGAGAACACAGTTGCTTATAATATGATTGCAAAGGTCATTTATGTAAAGTATAAAGAGGGTGGGTCCTAAAACGCTGCCTTGGGGGATACTTAACAACCAAAAAGTCGTAAAACGGGGCAAAACTCACTGACAACAAATGTTTTCCTTGCCAACAGAAATTTTGGGCTCAATTGCAATCGTACGTTGAGGACTACCTGTAGTTTTTTTAAAAAGGTGCAGTGACAGCTTTATTTTGTATTCCCCTGTGTAATGATATTCCCTACTCCTTCGTCGACGTTCAGGAAAAGGAACGGATACCAAGGATGAATGGAGCATGAAAGAGAAGGATGGAAAAAGATTTTTCTGTTTGTTTATATGAAAATGCTCAGGAGTTTCTGCTAATTTCCCACGTGACTCTCGGGCTCTGTGTGTGTGTGTGTGTGTGTGTGTGTGTGTGTGTGTGTGTGTGTACTGAGTGAGCTTGCCTGATGTGTTAGTGCCATTTGTGGAGAGCAGCAAAGACTGAACACACTGCCAAGAAGACCGGGTAAGTTGTGGCTAGGAAGATCTCCTATTTTTGCAAGACGTTAAACCAGGATTATCAAATTAGACTCCGTTCTAGTGGATCTTTATGTGGAAATTCAGATTCTGGGAATCGTGTTCTACTGATATAAATAGATTATGGCATCGTTTAAGCCTTCCGAAATCAGGTCTCCAGAAAGGTAAAAAGATACAGCAAGCAACAAATCTAACCAGGATGGAAAAAATATATTCGTTTGTTTCATGTTCTTAAACCTGCTGCTTCCCAGAAGTCAGTGATACACTATATTGTTTTGTCTTCGTTTTAATAACCCTGAAGAATTTCATACTGGAGAAATTATATTTGAATTTAGGATTGGTAGGGTGACCCATCTGAATGGGAATGTCATTCAACTCGGATAATGGACAGCTTTCCCCGTCTGTCAGGTTGTGCTGCGTTTTTGGTGAGCACGACAATCTCTGGTTACACGAAACCTTGCTAATTCTATGCTTGTCAAATGCAAGCTATCAGGAACGATTTATCTTTCTCAACCATCATGGTTACTAAGGTATAAACTTACGGATGTGTTTTAAAACAAAATTTGGAGAACATTCTGATTTTTCTTCTGGGCATGTTCTAATCTAGTGCAGGATATATTATTTTGTTCTGAAATACGCCGAAAACGAAAACCTTTATTTTGAGTATTGTGGCTGCTGGGTTAATTTGCTCTTACACTGGCAACGAAGGAGAGTTTTCTCATTTATGTGTCAGATAAAAGGAAGTTTTTTTAAAAAAAATTATTACGTTCTGTTTGGATCTGCCTTCCCTTTAGCAATTTATAATCCTAACCTTAGCAATTGTTTTCAGATAATCACCCCGTTCCGGAGGTTGATATTGTGTGCGGAGAATAGAAAAGAGATGGAAGACTGGATTAGTTCGCTCAAGTCCGTCCAGTCCCGAGAACATTACGAGGTAAGCTTGAGACAATTTAAAAAAAAGAAAAAAATCAGGATTGTCTCTTTATCAAGCTGCAGAAAATAGGAAAAGAAAAATGTCCGTGTTCTTAATAAATCCACAAAGAACAAGCAGAGCATCGATTGGAGGTTTATATTTAGCCTGTTCTGTTTTTTGCTTCAAAAAAATGAATGTCTTGGTTTTTTTTTTGTTAGTTTGCTGGTTGCTTTGCTTGAAAGGCGAACTTCTCCAAAATGTGGCGATTGGGAGCCCTGGTATGTCTCGTACTTAGAAATCTGTCTTTTAATTTCTTTATCAGGCGGCCCAATTTAACGTGGAGCATTTCTCAGGGATGCACAACTGGTATGCTTGTTCCCACGCGAGGCCAACTTTCTGCAACGTTTGCCGTGAGAGCCTCTCCGGAGTCACTTCCCACGGTTTGTCTTGCGAAGGTAAATCCGTCCCCTCTGAATCATCATTTAGCACGAAAATGCAAAAATACGGCTCCCTTATTTAAAGAGAGGGGTGGTTTTTGCTAGTGGGTGTCAGTGAATGTCTTTCTTTTTATATCCTGAACAATTTAAAGCGCTCCATGGCATAGGACCTGGGTATTTGCGGGACCGCCTTCTGCCGCCGATAGCCTCCCACCGACCGGTACGCGCCCACAGAGAGGGACTCCTCAGGGTGCCGTCAATCAGGCAATGTCGGCTGGCGACCCCCAGGGGGAGGGCCTTCTCTGTGGCAGCTCCTGCCCTCTGGAACGATTTGCCCCCGGAGATACGAAGGATATCGGATCTCCGGGTCTTTCGCCGTGCCCTGAAAACTTTTCTTTTCCATCAAGCAGGGCTGGCATGAACCCACCCCCCTTATTTTAGTCTTTTTTAGTTTTTTAGCTTTTAAATTGTCAATGGGTTTTAATTCGAATTGTTTTAAATTTGGGCCAAAGTTATGTAATTCTTTTAATAATTTTAAATTTTGTATTGGTATGTGTTTTAGTTCTGGCTGTGCACCGCCCTGAGTCCACTGGGAGAAGGGCGGTATACAAATTGAATAAAATAAAATAAATAAATAAATTTAGCCGTGTTTTCATTAACCGGTTAACAAATCTGCATTTCCAAGAAGCATTTGCTGATTTGCTTCTAGGCTAAGTGTTAACAGAAGTTCCCTGACTTACGACTGGAATTTTGGTTGCAAGTCGCTGTAGTCATAAAGTCGAGGCATCTGGTGACTGGTTTAGACTTTTCAATTCATCAAAAGAATGGTGGCCTTGCAGCTTTGAAGCAACCCACTATTGCAATCGCTCTGATTTCTTCAGCTTTTTTTGGCTAATAACAAAATTCACGCAACATGTTCAAACCTGATTTGGGAGAGGCCTTTGCAATTTGTTTTATGGAGCAGGAGAAGGAAGGGAAGCTGCACTAGCTGGGGTCAGGACATTGATTAAATGTAGGTTATTATGCCTATCGGTTGATTGAACGAAGAGGGAGGGTGGAGTTTGTTCTCTGAGCTTGTGGGTTGGTTTCCAAACGTTTTTGTTACTAGGCTAGGTAACATCTTCAGCGGAGTTTAGGGGATGTCCGTGTCCGTGTTCTTCTGCTTATAAGGGCTTGGTGTGGTCAGTAGGTCTTATGATGAGGAGGTCACATCAGGTGAGGGTTTTGTGATGGGTCTTGAGATGGTGAAGTCACATCAGGTGAGGGTCTTATGATGAGGAGGTCACAATCAGGTGAGGGTTGTGATGGGACTTGTGATGGGGAAGCCATGTCAGGTGAGGATCTTGTGATGGGTCAGATGTGGGTCACATCAGGAGAGGGTCTTATGATGAGGAGGTCACATCAGGTGAGGGTTGTGATGGGACTTGTGATGGTGAAGTCACATCAGGTGAGGGTCTTATGATGAGGAGGTCACATCAGGTGAGGGTTGTGATGGGACTTGTGATGGGGAAGTCACATCAGGGGGGGTTCTTATGATGAGGAGGTCACATCAGGTGAGGGTTGTGATGGGACTTGTGATGGGGAAGCCATGTCAGGTGAGGATCTTTTGATGGGTCAGATGTGGGTCACATCAGGTGAGGGTCTTATGATGGGGAGATTGCAGGGTTTTTTGATGGGTCTTGAGATGGGTCAGGTGAGAGTTGTGATGGGACTTGTGATGGGGCAGTCATGTCAGGTGAGGCAGTGATGGGTTTCAAATTTTTTTACTACTGGTTCTGTGGGTGTGGCTTGGTGGGTGTGGCATGGCTTGGTGGGCATGGCAGGGGAAGGATACTGTAAAATCGCCATTCCCTCCCCACTGCAGGGGAAGGTTACTGCAAAATCCCCATTTCCTCCCGATCAACTGGGACTTGGGAGGCAGAGAATAGATGGGGGCAGGGCCGGTCAGAAGTGGTATTTACCGGTTCTCCGAATTACTCAAAATTTCCATTTACCGGTTCTCCAGAATTGGTCAGAACCTGCTGAAACCCACCTCTGGGTCAGGGTCTTGTGATGGGACTTGAGGTGTGAGACATGTCAAGTGAAGATCTTGTGACGGGTCTTGTGATGGTCATGTCCAGTGAGGGTCTTGGATGGGTCTTGAGATGAATCAGGTGTGAGTCACATCAGGTGAGGGTCTTGTGATGGGGGGTCATGTCAGGTGAGGGTCATTGGGAAGTGAAGTCCTGGTTGGGGCAGTTTGATTGGGTTGGCTGAAGGTCGGTGCCATCTCTGTTTGGCTATCTGGATTCTGAGGGGTTCGTGGGCTGATTGAAGGACGTGTGCTACATGGATAGTCTCGCTTACCAACTACTTCATTTAGCAACGGGTTGAAGTTACAATGATGTAAAAATGGTCTGCAGCCAACATTTGCATTGGGTGCATTGTGACATCCCAATGTCACCAAATCACTACTCAGCTTTGCAACCAATGCGCCTTTACAACAGTCACAAGTCCTGTGATTGTCATTTGCACACTTTCACAATTGGAGTGGGACGAGCGGAGTTCGTGGAGACGGCGGAAGCAACACTGCGAATCACGTTCATTCATTCCATGTTTTGTTTAACTAGCAAATAGGAAGTGAGGTCATTCGTCCGTTGCAGTCTGGTGGGGTTTTCTTCTTAGCGACTCTGGTGCTCAGCGCTGGAGTTCCTGGGTCTCAATTGTGATAGTTAAACAACCTGGAACACGGCCGGTGTGTTGTCCATGTTCCTTGGTGTGCAAGAATTAACATTGATCTTGTGTGCAGTGTTGCTGTGAAGAAATGTCATCGTGCTTCGTTGACTGGGGCATCGAATGACCTCACATCCTGTTTGCTAATGAAACAAAACATTGTGTGACTTGTGATATGACTTCCATGGTCTCCAGGAACTCCGCTTGTCCCAAGCCAATTTGGGACTATCTGCAGCTTGCTTCAGTTCAGTGGTCTGGAAGACAGTTTTCATGTCCCTCTGGTCATGATATGGTCGACATACCTCATTCCCTCAACCGTTCGTCATACAATTTAGCCTCCCATCCTCTAATCATCTTTGTTGCTCTTCTCTGAACTTTTTCTAGAATCTCAGCATCTTTTCTCTATCGTGGTAACCAAAACTGTACACAACATTTCAAAGGTGGCTTCACTAGTGTGATATAAAGTGGCATTATCACTTCTGATGATCGTCCCAAAGGTGCTTTTTTCAAGTGGCAAACTGGACTTCCTGGTTTTGCTTTGAAGACGTTTCGCTTCTCATCCAAGGAGCTTCTTCAGCTCTGAACTCTGAATGAGCTGAAGAAGCTCCTTGGATGAGAAGCGACATGTCTTCAAGGAAAAACAAAGAAAGTCCAGTTGCCTCTTGAAAAAAGCACCTTTGGGACAACCATGACCTGGGTGGCTGAGAATCTCCATAAACACTTCTGGTGGTCTTGATGCATATGAGGTTGTGCACTTATGCAGCTGAGGAATAATCAATGCATGGATTCTGTTAAGGATATTGTTGTGTTAACCAACCAGCAGAGCGTAGAGCACAGGGAAACAGTACTGAGAGCGATGAATAAAATACATACAAACTGGTTTATCAAAGTTTTTTCTTTGTAGTAAAAAACAATCTCATAGTCTTTAAACAATCCAAGTCTTTGCCAGTCAAATCAGTCCAGCGATACAAAAGTCTTCTTACCATACAAAACAGCAGTAGATAATAAACAGCAGCACATTCACGCTGGTAACAGATCACGATAGTAGCATATCCATCCACGATGATAGCATATCCACACACGATGGTAGCATATCATCAATGACTACATTTCAGCTCCCTTCTTAAATACAGTTACAACAGAGCTTATCCAATCAGGATACAATGACTCAGCATTACAATGACTCAGCAGTACTTTATTAAAGTCATAGAATACATATTCATGTTAAAGTCATAGAACACATATACTGTCCATATATTGCCTGGACAACCTGTTAGGCTTACACCATATACTAACAGATTCATTAGAATAGAGCTGGGAGGGACCTTGGAGGTCTTCTAGTCCAACCCTCTGCTCAAGTAGGAGATCCTGTACCATTTGAGACAACTGGCTGTCCAGTTTCTTCTTAAAAGCCTCCAGTGATGGAGCACCCATAACTTTTGAAGGAAAGCTATTCCATCCGTTGATTGCTCTCACCTTTAGGAATTATCTCCTTAGTTCTAGCTTGCTTCTCTCCTTGGTAAGTTTCCATCCATTGCTTCTTGTCCCACTTTCAGGTCCTTTGGAAAATAGGTTGACCCCTCTTCTTTGTGGCAGCCCCTCAAACATTGGAACATGGCTGTCATGTCACTCCTAGACCACAGAGTTTGGGCACTAATAGCAACAAGACTTTGACTCATGATGTTGGATTCTTAAAACTTAGAATATAGAATAATAGAGGTGGAAGGGACCTTGGAGGTCTTCTAGTCCAGCCCCCTGCTCAAGGAGACCCTATACTATTCCAGACAAGTGGCTGTCCAGTCTCTTCTTGAAGACTTCCAGTGATGGAGCACCTACAACTTCTGAAGGCAAGCAGTTCCACTGATTAATTGTCCTCACTGTTAGGAAGTTTCTCCTTAAATGAATACTTTGATTCATTCTGTCTACAATCCTTGGATTCTATCTGCAGGGTTTTTAAATCCAATTATCTGTATTATTGGAAGCTAAATAATATGCTTGGGCAACTATTATGCTTCCTGACAAGTTAAGCTGCACGTCCCAGGACTTGGATCTCGTCAGATTAATGTTTTTGCGTTTCTTTCTTTGGAACCAACAAAGGCATTTGGAGAAACAGCTGTTCTTGGAAAGCTACCAACTCAAAACTTCTGCGATGCTGAATCGCGCAGTGAAAGCTTGCAAGCAACACGACTTTCATTATGATAAATAATAATTATCCAGGACTTGGCTAAGGTTTGAAGTGGTTTACAGCCCTTGTTTATATAAGAGTGCAGATGCTATGCATCTTGGCTTCATAAGGTGTCTTACGAAGAGACTGTCTAGCAGCCTCTCCTTTGTGTGTATGTGTGTGTGTGTGATTTTGCTTGGGGAACACATGGCATTGATACAAGCAAAAGTAAGGCTTCCTCCTGTCCAGTTGTGTCCAATTCTACGGCACATTGCTCACCTCTGTTTCTTGGCCGAGGAAGCCAGCATTGTCCAAAAACATTTTCTGTGGTCATGTGTCCAGCATGATTATATGTCAAGAAGCACAGAACACAGTTACCTTCCCACCGAAGTGGTACCTATTTATCTACTCGCATTTTCATGCTTTTGAACTGCTAGGCGGGCAGGAGCTGGAGCAAGGAACGGGAGCTCACCCCATTGTGTGGTGCTCAGGTCTCGAACACGGGCTGTGAGCGGGAAAGCTGACAAGCTCAGCGTTTATAACTGCTGAGCCATCGCGTCCCCGTGCAATGACAGATAGCTTGACCCTTTTTGAGAACTCGGCCATAACTTTCCGCTTAAGGACTAATGCTGGAGTAGCTGTCCATGGAAAGATGTCACCACGATACGAAGTAGACGCCAAAGCCCTAGAAAGAATGCAGAGAAGAGCAACAAAAATGATCGGGGATCTGGAAGCTAAACTGTATGATGAATGCCTGAGGGAGCTATGGATGGACTTCAACTTATGACTATAATTGAGACTGGAATTATGACTCTAAGTCATAACGACGGGGCACTCCCATGTGACCCCCCCTCTTGCGCGAGCTGCACTGGCTCCCGGTGGTCTTCCAGGTGCACTTCAAGGTTTTGGTTACCACCTTTAGAGCGCTCCATGGCTTAGGACCGGGGTATTTACGAGACCACCTTCTGCCACCAGTAGCCTCTCACCGACCAGTACGCTCCCATAGAGAGGGGCTCCTCAGGGTGCCGTTGACTGGCAGCCCCCAGGGGGAGAGCCTTCTCTGTGGGGACACCCGCCATCTGGAATGAGCTCCCCCCGGAGATACGGAGGATCCCAGATCTACGCACCTTCCGCCGTGCCATCAAAACATTTCTTTTCCAGCAGGCCGGCCTGGCCTAACCTCTCTTTTAAACTTTTAAACTATTAAAATTCTTTAATTTTAAATTTGTCTTAAGAATTTGGGGTGTTTTAAATTTCGGTTTCCGGGCCAATTATTTAATTGTATTTTAATGCTTTTTTAACATTTGTATTATATGTATTTTATCTGTCTGTTCACTGCCCTGAGTCCTTCGGGAGTAGAGCGGTATACAAATTCAATAAATAATAATAATAATAATAATAATAATAATAATAATAATAATAATAATTGCAGTTGTAAATTGAAGCATTGTGTGACCGAACCTGATTTTTTGCGCTGATCATTTACTCGAATGCCATGGTTGTTAAGCAAATCCGTTTTCCCCAATAGTTGTATTTTTGCCAGAAACTGGAAGTCAATGATAGAAACTGGTAAAAAAAAAAATCGCAAATTATGGCCATAAGACCTCAGAATGGTGCAAACGGTCGTAAGAATCCGTATGTATCTCTGTGTATGTGTATTTAGGAGAAAGAGAGGAGGTGGAGTCAAGAGAGGAATCAGCCTGAAGCTATTCTGTTGTCTCAAGCCCTCTAAGTCCATCCCTTCTTCAGTTCAATTGACATTTATCGCCAATTTAGACTGACCGTTAAATGACTAGATTCTTGTATGTATGTAGACATGAGCAATAAATCAGCTTAAATGGAACTTAACATGTGGTCTTGATTCCCCTGACATTGTGTGTGTTTGTGCAACCATCTTAACTACGAAAACGGGTTGTAAGTAGCTCTGGGAAGGTCCACTGTAACTTTGAACAGTTGTTAATCGACCAATCGTAAGTTGAGAACTATCTGTAATTTGGCCAAGTTTGAAGTTTCTCCATAAATGGGCGTTAGGTGAAGATAGATTTTGTGACCATGAAGGAATTATGTTCTCAGGAACCTACGTATATTTTTAAAATACATATTTATTCCTTTCTCCTAGTATGCAAGTTCAAGGCTCACAAAAGATGTGCGGTTCGGGCAATAAATAATTGCAAATGGACAACGTTGACTTCAATTGGAAGAGATATCATTGAGGATGAAGATGGTGTAAGTCTTTGCCACACGCAGTAAATCCGATTCTTCAGGTTTTTGTTGAAAACAATAGCCCGTAATAACCATTAAGTAGGGTGAATTGTAGCTAGCTGTGCGTCCTGTCTAACAAACATGTTTTTAGCACATGATGTCCTGTTGAATTAAGTATGTAACTCTACCACCAAGAAGACCTTGGACTATTTTCAAGTAGGCCCCGGGGAGCTGCAGATTTGTTTCTAGCAGGATGGGAGGTGTCTACAATAACTTCATTCCCAGCTGCAGAGAATGGCCAGATTTTAGAACCGATACGCCACTTGGTCTTGCAGTTGTGAAGCAAGAACAATAGTGGCCAAGGATTGAGAATGAGCCGCTGAACGATGCCACCAGTGAAATGCTGAGGGTATCTGTTCAGCTTCTGAAGAAATACAGTAGCTCTTCTTCCAGCCATCTTTGAAGTGTGGTGGAAATCCTTGGGGTCATCCTCATCTTCAACCTCATTCTCAACCGCAACCTCAACTTCATCTCATCCTCATCTACATTCCTCATCTTCAACCTGTCTCAACTTCATCCTCACCCTCACTCTCAATCTCACCCTTACCCTCAACATCAACCTTAACATCATTTTCATCCTCACCCTCAACTTGAACCTCATCCTCATCCTTACTCTCACCCTCACCCTCACCCTCTCCCTCAACCTCAATATCATTTTCATCCTCACCGTCAATCTCAGTTACAACCTCAATCTTAGTCTCCTCAACCTCAACTTGAACCTCATCCTCATCCTCACTCTCAACCTCAACCTCATTTTCATTCTCACCCTCAATCTCATCCTCATCCGCAACCTCATTCTCAACCTCAACCTCATCTTCATTGTCACCCTCAACCTCACCTTCAATCTCAACTCAATCTAGATCTTAACCTTGTCCTCATCCTCACCCTCACCTTCAACCTCAACTTCAACCTAGGTCAGTGATGGCTAACCTTTTCTTGACTGAGTGTCCAATGCGTGTTTGCGTGCCCCCAACCCCCCCAAATTCAATGCGTGCATGCCCCCTGCATCTGTGCCCCACCCCCCGCATTCCCCCCATCCCCCGTGCATGCGCGGCAGAGACCCAAAGACCAGCTGGTTGGTGGGAGGACCACGTGCATGCGTGGCAGAGCTGAACTGGGGTGACAGCTCACATGCCATCAGGGAGGGCACTGTGTGCCACCTCTGCCACGCGTGCCATAGGTTCACCATCACAGACATAAGTCTTAACCTTGTTCTCATCCTCACCTTCAACCTCAACTCAACCTAGGTCTTAACCTTGTCCTCAACCTCATCCTGATCAATTTGTACCCCAAATCTTTTTTGTACAACTCAAGGGTGAGTGCATGATATTCCTTCCTCCTCTTTCCCCCAGTCAGATTGGTTGAGCTGAGAGACCATGATTGACCTCAAGTCACCCAGCCAGCTTTCCTGTCTAAGGGTGGACTAGAACTCACGATCCCCTGGTTTCTAACCCATTGCACCAATAGGGCTCCCTTTACTCTTTGGAACATGAGGACGGCCCCCAACGAAGGAAAAACACGGGGAATAAGGTCCCTTGTGAGTGGACCTCTTCGGGTCAGAGTTGAGTAGTCTGAAGACAGACCAACCAATCCCACCTCTAGCGTTGATGAGATTGAAATCGAAAGGGATGGACGTTGAACTTCCTTCTTTCTCCTCCCCGTTGACCTCCCAATAAACCTCCCCTCTAGGTAGCCATGCCTCATCAGTGGTTAGAAGGCAACCTTCCGGTCAGTGCCAAATGTGCGGTGTGCGACAAAACCTGTGGCAGTGTTCTCCGCCTGCAAGATTGGAAGTGCCTGTGGTGTAAGACAATGGTAAGTCTGGACGGTGGGTGAGATCGCCCCTTTTGTGAAGATGTTCTCCTGGTTTGGGACAAGAAGCTGACCAAACAGCATGGACCTCTACAGGGCAGTGGTGGTGATTAAAGAGTCGCGATGATGGTTGTGGGTGTGGGTGTCAAAGCGCGCACACACAACAGGAGTAGGACTTGTTTGTGACTATGGTGTCCTTGGGGCTTGTGGTTTTCTCGCAGACGTTTCATTACCCAGCTAGATAACATCATCAGTGTTGGGGACTATCATCATAACTGCTTTCACCCTCCAGTTCATTATGGAATTTCCACTCACTGTCTACACAGAGTGTAGATTCGTCTAAATCTCTCCACTTCCTAAAAATCCATTACATGATCCGTTGTAACGCTGTTGGCGTTAATGGCGCAGAGGGGGGAGCTTAACTGAAATATGCATGTTGCCAGATCTCATTGAGGGTTCATTTGTGGTTGCTAGGAACCTACCACTGGCTGCTTAAGTTATCGCAACTTAAAAGGCATAGGTAGTCCTCGTCTTACGACAACAATTGAGCCCAACATTTCCGCGGCTAAGCAGGACCCTGGTTAAATGAATTTTAACCAGGGTCCTGGTTTTAAATGCTCATTTTAAATGAATTTTAAATGAATTTTAAATGCTCATTTTATGACCTTTCTCGCCACTGTTGTTAAGTGATCCCCTTTTACTGCAACTGTCATAAGTCCATGCCAGTTGCCAAGCCTCTGAAATTTGATCATGTGGCCATGGGGATGCTGCAACGGTCGTAAGTGTGAGAAACGGTCATAAGTCACTTTTTCACGCCACTAAACGAGTGGCTGTAAATTCAGATTAGGTTTATTTATTTATGAGGACCAGATTTATCAGAATCGATCTGACCGATTCATTGACTCTTATGGTTCATCTCTCATCTGTTTTCCTACATTTTTGAAGGACTGTCTATTAAATGCTTTTAATAAAGAAAATAGCAAGAAAAAAAACCCTCTGGATGAACCTTTAGATGTTATAATAAACTGTTTATTTAGAACTTGGATGGAAGCTACCAGCCAGAGTTGTTGCTTCCAAGCCTTAAGTTTCTCTGCCATTCCTCACCGTTAACCCAATTACTTTAATCTCATTTAGTTTAATTTGATTCCATATTGGCTTGATTTATAATTTTTAAGCATGTTTTTCTCCCCGGATCAAACCAAACAGCTTACTTAATTAAAAGCAATCAGACATTGAAGCCTAAACAAACGGGATCTGCAACCTGAAATTTGTTTAACTGGACTTCTGTTTTCTACTCCGTACCCTTTTATTACTTTTGGAACATCAAAAATAGACAAGATAAGTCGCTGTCTCCTCTACGCCTTTATTGAATTATGGGCAACTCGTGCTTTTCTAATTGCTAATGGATTTTTTTTTTTTTTAAGATTTAAATTTTGATGGGTACTTTAAAATTGGCTTTACGTATATTATCTTTTATACTTCTACGATAAGTCAAAATATATAAACTGAGCAAGATTTCTTTTTGAAGTTACTGCTTGAAGGACTTGCGTTTATGATTCCACGCATTCTCTTTAAACCATTTTATTCGTATTATCGCTTTTCCTTCTCATAATATAAGTATTCTTTCAATTACAATGGAACTTCTCTTGTTTTTCCTAACGATTATTTTGTTTTGTCCCACCTTTTAAATTCCTGCAAACCCACCAAGCTTGTGATTTATTTTGCTACATAAAATTTAAACAGATATATCTGATCTGAACTGGGTAAAAACAACTTCAGATGAAAAAAATCATTTTCCCCCCACTGTGATGAGATTCCAGAGATCTACCGAAGATCTCAGATGGATCTTTCTAAATACAGATAGTTCTCAACTTACAACAGTTCATTTAGTTAACAATGGCATTGAAAAAAATGATTTATGACCGTTTTTCACACTTACGACCATTGCAACATCCCCAGGGTCACTTGATCAGAATTCAGACGTTTGCCAACTGTCTCATATTTATGACGGTGACAGTGACGAGCAAAGTGAATGGGGAAGTCGGGTTCGCTTAACAACCGTGTGACTTAACTTCACAACTGCACTGATTTACGTAACAACCGTGGCAAGAAAAGTCGTAACATGGAGCAAAAGTCACTTAACAAATGTCTCGCTTAGCCACATAAATTCTGGGCTCCGTTGCGGTCGTAAATCGAGGATTATCTGTACATTGTGAGAAGATATGACTTTAGCCTTGCTTAGGGGAGACCGCGGTGGCTCAAGGGATGCGGTGACTCAGTGGCTAAAACACTGAGCTTTTTGATTGAAAGGTCGGCAGTTCAGCGGTTCGAATCCCTAGTGTCGCGTAACGGGATGAGCTCCCGTTCCTTGTCCCAGCTTCTGCCAACCTAGCAATTCGAAAGCAGGTAAAAAATGCAAGTAGAATGCAAGTTGTTGGTAGTGCAATATGGGAAGAAGGACTCTTTGCCTACTATTGAAGAGTGGATACTGAAAGTAACGAACCTAGCAGAAATGGCCAAAATCTCAGCGTACTTGAAGGACTATACACAAAAAAGATATGTATCGGAATGGAGAAGATGGATTGACTATATTCAAAATAAGTATCAGACAAGAAAATATCATATAGCTTATGATTGAATGTTAAGTATTAGAAATATTTAATTATCTATAGTGGAGTTAAGGTTTCAAGGGGGGAGTTAGTAGTCTGAGGATAAGTAGCTTAATCTAGTTTATGATTGCTCAATGAAATACCTTGTATTTTGCTCTGGGAAGTCTGGGGGGGAGGGTGGGATGAGGGGAGGGAAAGGGCGGAGGGAATGTGGGGGGGGGGGAAGAAAATTTTTGTTTTTTGTAAAACTTTTCAATAAAAAAAACTGCAAGTAGAAAAATAGGGACCTCCTTTGGTGGGAAGGTAACAGTGCTCCGTGGACCTTTGGCGTTGAGTCATGCTGGCCACATGACCACGGAGACTCTTTGGACAGCGCTGGCTCTTCGGCTTTGAAACGGAGATGAGCACCGCCCCCTAGAGTCAGGAACGACTAGCACATATGTGTGAGGGGAACCTTTACCTTTACCTTAGGGGAGACCAAGTATCTTGAGGAATGGCCTGCTCGGATAGATGTTCTGAAAATTTAATTTCTCCAGATTGCAATTTAGTTAATTTAATATTTTCCCCTCGCTCCTAATCTGCCGGTGCAAACAATCTCCCTTGGTTCGGTTAAAAGCAAATTAGAATTGAGTACCATTAGCACAGCAGAAGTGGCACTTCAGCTAGTCACTAAAATTTCTGCCAGCATCTCCGTGGCTGGGCCGAACAGAATATATTTGTGTATTTTCTTCCGCCTGCAGACCGGGTAATCCTCAACTTACAACAGTTCGTTTAATGAGCATTCAAAATCACAACGGCGCTGAAAAAAGTGAGTTAGGACCGTTTTTCACACACACAACTGTTGTAGCATCCCAGGAAACTGTGATCAAAATTCAGGCGCTTGGCAGCTGGCATGAACTTATGTTTTAGTGAATCTGGCTTCGTTGTTGATTTGCTTGTCAGAAGGTCGCAAAGGTGACTCACATTTTTGACCGTCAAAAATGTGAGTCAGCTTGCCAAGCATCCGAATGTAAGGCATGTGATCTTGGTGTTCGTAGCCCCAGCTACGGACCCCAAAGAACGCAGCACTCACAAAGTCCGTTCAAAGTAACTTCAATTTATTGAACAAACCGGTCTTCCACAACAACGGCTGCCAACCAGTTGCATCAACAGCCGCCAAGACTCAAAGAACAATGACTGAAAACTCACTATGGTTGGCAGAATGCCCAGAAGCAATTTGCAGGAAGCTGACCAGATAATCAAGACAAGACACGAAGGTATGTGAACGAAGTTGTTCCCTGCAAATTGCTTCAGTCGGCGTTCCTCCTTAAATAGGCTAAGGGAGTGGCCAATTAGCCCCAAGCCTTACTCTCGAGGAGACCTCCTGCTGAGGAGCCACTCCTGCCTTTTGGCAGCTCTGCGTGCCCGTGCATCGAGAAGAGGCTCCTCCTCTTCATCCTCTTCACTTATGGAAGCTTCTGAAGGCCGTGGCTAAGTCCCCACCTCTGGCACCACATCTTCTCCAGCCTCCTCATTGTCCGACTCGAGTGCCAGCTGCTCAGGCTGTTGGCGCAGCACCACACCAGTCTCCTCGCTGTCGGAATCAGCTACTAGCTGCACAGGCCGCTGACGGGCCACAACATTTGGGGAAGGCTGCAACGGTCCTAAATCCCTTTTTTTCCAGTGCCATTGTAGCTTCGAACAGTCACTAAACAAACTGTTGTAAGTCGAGGACTAACATCGAAGAGCCGTTCACGATGAAATGATGAACAATCATTGAATGAATTTAAGGAGGGAGCCGGAATGTCTGACCCTTTGTTCTGAATTTTGTAGCAAATAGCAAATATAAGATTCCATATCAACTGATTTTGCTTACAGATTCATATTCGCCCCAAAGCAAATAATTGGGGGGGGGGAGGAATCTTCGTTGTGTGGTCTGCTCAGCTTCACACATGGATTTTGCACCTGTCCAGAGGCTTCTTTGGGGACAGAGTTCGAATTAGGCAACTTTGGAGACAGGAAACGTGGCCGTGTTTTGTGGGGGGGTCGCAAAGAGAATCCACTCCCCCCGGCCCCAGAGAAACTCCATCTGCAGCCATGGAACACCCAGATCGGCCTGGAATGAAAAAAAAAACACATATTTTTATCGTAGAAAAATGTAGAAAATAGACAGCTCTTTCGCTTTGGAAACAGCTGCATTTTGACATCTGCACGAAGAACCCTTTGCTCGTACAGAGATTGTGAGATGACACCAACGCAAGGAGAGGCCGTCTCTGGAAACATACCTAATCCTCATTTAATGACCACAATAGAGCCTGGTCACATTGTCAGAATTCTGTTGCTTGCCAACTGGTTCGCATTTATGACGGTTGTAATGTCCCCCGGGAGTGTTACATGATCCCCTTTTTGTGAACTTCGGACAAGCTAAAGTCAATCCGGAGTTACTTCACAACAGTGCAGCTAACTTAACAATTGTTCAGTCAGTGGCAAAAAAGGTTGTACAATGGGGCATAACTCGCTTAACAAATGTCTCACTTAGCAACGGAAACGTTGGGCTCAATTTTGGTCACAAGTCGAGGACGCCCTGTATTCAGATTTGCATTTTGTGCCATAAAATCACCTCTGTTTCGTAAACTTTTTAATAATCCACGTCTCCTCCATTTTGTAAAACCATTTCCAGGTGCACACGGCGTGCCGAGACTCGTATCCGCGCAAATGTCCCCTCGGCCAGTGCAAAGTCTCAATTATTCCGCCCACAGCACTGAACAGCATAGATTCGGACGGTATGTATGTTGATATGGCAGATGTATGGTGTATGTCACATGTAGGATTTGTGCAGAGCGAATGTACACAATATGTAACACGGAGAGTGATGGCATTCAGCCGGTTCTATCTGGTTCGGGCGAAATGGTAGCGGCAGCTGTTGGAGACTCCGCCCACCCGCCTGGATGTCATCACATCCCGTTTTTGATGCTGCACATGCACTGAGAAGGGAAGGGAAGGGAAGGGAAGGGAGGGAGGGAGGAAGGACGGAAGGACGGAAGGAAGGAGAAGGGGAGGGAAGGGGAAGGAGGGAGGGTGGGAGGGAGGAAGGGAGGAAGGAAGGAAGGAAGGAAGGAAGGAAGGAAGGAGAAGGGAAGAGAGGGAGGAAGGAAGGAAGGAAAGGGAGGGAGAGAGGAAGTTAGGAAGGAAGGAAGGAGAAGGGAAGGGAGAGAGAGAGGGAGGGAGGGAGGGAGGGAGGAATGAATGAATGAAGGAAGGAAGGAAGGAAGGAAGGAAGGAAGTAGTGCGCACATGCACTCACATTTGCAAACTGGTAGCAAAGATAAGTAAATACCTCCCTGAACACGGATAATAGTGCAGGACAGGTTGCAAAACGCCGGAAAAGCTTCGATGGGAGATGGAGGCAATTCAAGTAGAATGCGAATGTCTTAGTACTGTGATGGCGAACTTATGCCACGCATGCCACAGGTGGCATGTGGAGCCATATTGGTGGGCACGCGAGCTCAGCTCCGGCCTGCAGGCACGCGCCAGCCAGCTGATTTTCGAGTCTTCTGGGCCCACCGGAGGTCGAGAAACAGGCTGTTTCCAGCCTGTGGAGGGCCTCCAAGGGGGTGAGGAAGGCCATTTTCGCCCTCCCCAGGCTCCTAGAAAGGCTCTGGAGCCTGGGGAGTACGAAAAATGGGCCTACCGTGCCCACCATGCTATCATGTGCCAAAAGCAGGGGGAACATGGGGGTGTCATGCGTGCATGGGCAGGGGGCATGGGGTACAAAGAATTATGGATATGGACATGCACACAACCCCCCCACGCTCCCCCCACTTTTGGCACACGATGGCAAAAAAGTTAGCCATCGCTGTCTTAGTATTTTACGGAAGAGGATTCCTTGCCGATTTCCATGTAAATGAACATAAGAGAATTAATGACACTTAAGATACGAACGCTCAGATTCATGCCTCCTAATTAGGTTTCAATTTGTAGAGGCCTGGCAGACCGCCGTAAATTCAAACACACAGAAATGAATTTTCTATGTTCTGAAACATATTGGCCTTCATCGACGGAAAAAAAAAGGGAAAAGAAGGGAAAGAAAGTGCAGAGTTTTATGCAGAGTGTTCCATAGAATGATTTTATTCTTTGAAAGTGAATTCTTACTTTTGTACAGAGCACAAGGGACCTTGGAGGTCTTCTAGTCCAACCCCCTGCTTAGGAAGGAAATCCTCTACCATTTCAGACAAATGGTTGTCCAATCTCTTTTTAAAAACCTCCAGTGATGGAGCGCACCCACAACTTCTTGTGGCAGGTAGTTCCACTGGTTAATTGTCCTCACTGTTAGGAAGTTTCTCCTTAGTTCTAGAACTAAGGAGAAATTTCCTGACAGTGAGGACAATTAACCGTGAAACTATTGAAGTTGTGGCTGCTCCGTCACGGAAGGCTTTTAAGAAGAGATTGGACAGCCCTCTGTCTGAAATGGTATAAGGTCTCCTGCTTGAGCAGGGGGTTGGACTAGATGACCTCCAAGGTCCCTTCCAACCTCTGTTCTCTGAGACTATTTGTTACAGTCCTTAATCCGCTGTTCAACATTGAGTCCAAAATTCATTAACAACCTCTTGATTGTGATTGTGATAACCTTGCTGGAACTAGGAAAGAGTCTAGGCTGGCTAAAATATTATTTTATTTCTGATGTTTCGTGCAGGTTTCTGGAAAGCCACCTGTCCACCCACCTGTGCCAGTCCTCTCTTGGTTTTTGTGAATTCGAAGAGCGGAGACAATCAGGGCGTGAAATTTCTCCGGCGCTTCAAGCAGTCCCTAAACCCAGCTCAGGTTTTCGATTTAATGAATGGGGGACCCCACTTAGGGTAACTTGGTTAACTTTCTTTCTTTCTTTCTTTCTTTCTTTCTTTCTTTCTTTCTTTCTTTCTTTCTTTCTTTCTTTCTTTCTCTTTCTTTCTCTCCCTTCCTTTTCTTCTTTCTCTTCTCTTTCTCTCTTTCTTCCTCTTTCTTTCTTTCTTTTCTTTCTTTCTTTCTTTCTTTCTTTCTTTCTTTCTTTCTTTCTCTCTCTTTCCCTCCCTCCCTCCCTCCCTCCCTTTTTCTTCCTTCCTTTCTCTCTTTCTTCTTCTTTCTTTCTTCTTTCTTTCTTCTTTCTTTCTTTCTTTCTTTCTTTCTTTCTTTCTTTCTTTCTTTTTCTTTCTTTCTTTCTCTCTCTCTCTCTCCCTCCCTCCCTCCCTCCCTTTTTCTTCCTTCCTTTCTCTCTTTCTTCCTCTTTCTTTCTTTCTTTCTTTCTTTCTGTGTACTGTACGCCATATTTCAGGGAGCCTCCATTTTAAAATTCCTTTTCTGATAAAATTTTGGTAAATAGAATTCCCTTCTTGAGGTCGTAAGTGTGAAAAATGGTCATAAGTCACTTTTTTTTCAGTGTCGCTGTAAATCATCCGCTTAATACAGTTAGTCCTCAACTTACAACAGTTCATTTAGTGACCCAATTCACAACCATAGTGGAAAAAGTGACCTATGACCCTTTTTCATGCTTACATCATCCCCAGGGTCATGTGATTTACATCTGGGCGCTTCCCACTGGACTCATACTTATGACCGTTGCTGTATCCCAAGGTCACATGATCCTCTTTGTGACCTTCTGACAAGCAACGTCGATGGGGAAGCCAGATTCACTTAACAACCATGTTACTAACTGAACAACCTCAGTCATTCACTTAATGACTGTAGCAAGAAAAGTCGTAAAATGGAGCAAGACTTATTTAATTTCTCACTTAACAACGTACATTTTGGGCTCAATTGTGGTTGTAAGTTGAGGTCTACCTGTAATATATCCGTTTCAGTGCTCAGAACTATTTTAATATTATTTTAAAGCAACCTTTTTTTTCCCCCCTGGGAAATTTCTCCAACACTTTCTTCCCAACATAGTTGATTTTTCACGGTTATGAGATTTCCTTGCTGACAGGATGGATCTGATTACGGACCTGGCTTTTTTCTCTTTCAGTTTACGATTATTCCAGAAGTTTGACAATTTCCGAATCCTGGTGTGCGGGGGAGACGGGAGTGTCGGCTGGGTCTTGTCTGAAATTGATAAACTCAACCTACATAAGCAGGCAAGTGTCTTTTTCTTTAAACCCTCAAAGAAATAAATTGAATTTTGTTTTTTTAAAAACTAGAAAAATGAAAGGAAAAGAATGTCCCATGATTATACCATAATTAAACATTGTCATAGAGTTTACTAGCGGTTAAGGTTGAGCAGGGGAATTTTATTATTGATTTTGTTTTATTATTTCATTTAATTTCACTTCACTTCACTATTTTATTTTATTTTATTTTATTTTATTTTATTTTATTTTATTTTATTTTATTTTATTTTATTTTATTTTTTATTTTATTTTATTTTATTTTATTTATTTTATTATTTTATTATTTTATTATTTTATTTTTTATTTTATTTTTTATTTTATTTTATTTTATTTTATTTTATTTTATTTTATTTTATTTACACATAACAGAAGGCAAAACTGAATTCTTAACATATTCAAACACAACTTCCTCCTCCTGTCCTTCCCACGACAAGAACCCTGTGAAGTGGGTTGGGTTGAGAGACAGTGATTGGCTCAAAGTCACCCAGCTGGCTTTCATGTCTAAGGAGAGACTAGAACTCCCAGTCTCCTGGTGATTGGCCCAAGGTTATCCAGCCACCTTTCAGGTATGACTAGAACTCCCAGTCACCTAGTGATTGACCCAAAGTCAACAACAACCATATGAAGTGGATTGGGCTGAGAGAGAGTGACTGACTCAAAAGTCACCCAGCTAGCTTTCACATCTAAGGTGGGACTAGAACTCCCAGTCTCCTTGTGATTGGTTCAAAGTCACCCAGCTGATTTTCATGACTAAGGCAAGACTTGAACTCACGACCTCCTGCTTTCTAGCCTGGTGCCTAAACCAGTAGACCAAACTGTCTCTCAGAAACCAAATCACAAATCTATATTTTTAATCTTTATTCCAGTGTCATTTGGGAGTGTTACCGCTTGGGACGGGAAATGACCTCGCCCGGGTTCTCGGTTGGGGAGGTTCCTGTGATGATGACACACAACTGCCTCAAATTTTAGAAAAATTAGAACGAGCTAGCACCAAAATGCTCGACAGGTGAGGAAATTCCTTCCTTGCTTATTGTGTTTGCATGGTCAAATCTTTTCCACGATCAACGTTCCTTCTCGGTGAATCCTTCCGTTTCTGAATTTGAATTTTGGAATATTTCAGGTGGAGCATCATGTCGTATGAACTGAGGATGCCATCCAAGCAATGCATCCTTCCAGTTACTCCCGAAGAAGACGCTGACGATTGTCAGGTAAAATTTAAATTTGCAATTAAATAATATAAGATCTAATCTGGTTGTTGGGTAAATCTAAATTTCTGGATGTCATTAAATTATACAAGATCTAATTTGGATGCATTCAAACTGAGTAATACTCTGTCTGCTTCTCATCCTCCTTTTTCTCTCTCTCTCTACACACACTCACAAACACACACACACAAGCCACTTAGACAAAAGTGCTTCTGAAATCAGAATACTGATTAATTATGTATAGGATTTCAGCAAATGCTTAAGAGAAGAACTTGCAATAATACCATTAATGAGATCTGGGAAACTTACACGGTTCCATTTAATTGAAGTCATATGATTTATAGTGGGAAGAATCTACTGATATTGTAATAGGAATCATTGCAAGCATTTTCAGTCAGTGTTTAATTTCTAAAATGCTGAAGGAAGAGAAGGGATTTTTTTCCTCCCACAGTTAATAATTGGAGACCAACAAAGGAGAATATTTGTAGCTCAGGGTTGAACTGGGGTACTTGGGGCTCTCTGAGCACTCCCTTTTGTCGTATTGGAACAAACTCACACAACTTGCCACTGTTTTTAATTTATTTGTGGTCTGTCCTGGGCCACTGGAAAATTGCAGATTTTTTATGTTGCAATTACAAACTAGTCAAGATAGTAGCTTCAATCAAATGAAGTCAGGCCCACCATCTCTCTCATCTCTCACTCTTGTCTGTCTGTCTGTCTGTCTGTCTGTCCGTCCATCCATCCATCCATCCATCCATCCATCCATCCATCCATCCATCTATCTATATCTCTATTACTATATCTATCTATCTATCTCTATCTATCTATCTATCTATCTATCTATCTATCTATCTATCTTTCTATCCATCCATCCATCCATCCATCCATCCATCCATCCATCCATCCATCATGCATGCATGCATTATCCATTTATCATCTATCATCTGTCTAATCTATCTATCACCTATATCTATCTCTCATCTCTCTTATCTATCTATCTATCTATCTATCTATCTATCTATCTATCTATCTATCTCTTTATTATTTATCTATATCATCTCTCTCTCTCCCTCTCCCTCCCTCATCTGTCTCTATCTATCTATCTGTCTGTCTGTCTATCTATCTATCTATCTATCTATCTATCTATCTATCTATCCATCTATCCATCCATATCTATCTATCTCTCTCTATCTCTATCTATCTATCTATCTATCTATCTATCTATCTATCTATCTATCTATCTCTATCTCTCCATTATCTATCTATATCATCTCTCTCTCTCTCTCTCTCTCCTTCTCTCTCCCTCCCTCATCTGTCTGTCTGTCTGTCTATCTATCTATCTATCTATCTATCTATCTATCTATCTATCTCTCTTCTATCTATCATCTATCTATCTATCTGATATATGTTTGGGTGAAAAATAGATATTTATTATGCAGCTGCATTTTAAGATCCAAAGCTTTTTAAAAACCTGTTTCTAGATGTCTGCATATGAGGATTCAGTTGCCACACATCTGACAAAAATCCTTGATTCGGATCAACACTCCGTTGTGATATCGTCCGCCAAGTAAGTTCAACTGCAGCGTGTAAAATTGCTTTCTAATTTGAAAAAAAAAAAAACCCATGTCTTTCCATCTTTCTTCCTTCTGTTGCCCTTCTTTTCTTCTGAAGCATCCATACAGCAAGAGGCTACTTATGATCAATTGAGAATTTTATAGTGAAAAGTGAAATGAGGAAAGGAGGGGAGAGGAGAGATTTTGTGTGTGTGATCTCACGGGCTTTTCGTTTGTAAAACATAAAATGTGCAATCTTAATGGCTTCTTTTTTCAACGATAAGTGGCCGAGCTAAATTAACGCTCAATGTAAAATTAATGCTTTAACATCATCAATTTCCTTTCTTGCTCCGGTATTTCTTTCTCCTGAAAAAAGGATCTTATGTGAAACTGTGAAAGGATTTGTGGCCAAAATAGGGAAGACTTGTGAGAGACCAGAGGAAAATACAGAAACGGACGCCATGGCTATAAAAGTAAGAATTGAGATGGTTTTGTTTGAAGAAATGATTCAGTATTTCATATTTATCTGTGTATTTCCCTAGCATTAATGCTTCTTTTGTATGGATACACAGAAGGCTTACCAAAAAAAAAATCAAAAAAAAAAATCATGGAAGTCACCAGGTATAAAGATGGTTAAAGATGGCTAGTTTAAACAATGATTAGAAAAACGGTTGTAAAATCAGGCTGGTCATATGGATGACCATCGCAACTAATGGCCACCATACAGTAAGCTGGCTCCATTACGGTCATAAATTGAGAACTACCTGTACATCTCTCCACTGAAATGGTAGATTACAGTCGGCCTTTTTTTAATTATGGAAGACTTATAGAAGAGAATATTTGTAGCTCAGGGTTGAACTGAACTGAACAGAACAGTACAAGAGTAGAAGTAGAGTAGAGCAGAATAGGAATAGAATAATAGAATAATAGAATAATAGAATAATAGAATAATAGAATAATAGAATAAGAGAATAATAGAATAAGAGAATAAGAGAATAAGAGAATAAGAGAATAAGAGAACAGAACAAGAATAGAAGTAGAGTAGAGCAGAATAGGAATAAAATAATAGAATAAGAGAATAATAGAATAAGAATAAGAGAATAAGAGAATAAGAGAACAGAACAAGAGTAGAAGTAGAGTAGAGCAGAATAGGAATAAAATAATAGAATAATAATAAGAGAATAAGAGAATAAGAGAACAGAACAAGAATAGAAGTAGAGTAGAGCAGAATAGGAATAAAATAAGAGAATAAGAGAATAAGAGAATAAGAATAAGAGAATAAGAGAATAAGAGAATAAGAGAACAGAACAAGAGTAGAAGTAGAGTAGAGCAGAATAGGAATAAAATAATAGAATAATAGAATAAGAATAAGAGAATAAGAGAATAAGAGAACAGAACAAGAATAGAAGTAGAGTAGAGCAGAATAGGAATAAAATAAGAGAATAAGAGAATAAGAATAAGAGAATAAGAGAATAAGAGAACAGAACAAGAGTAGAAGTAGAGTAGAGCAGAATAGGAATAGAATAGAATAGGAATAGGAGAATATACAGAATAGGATAGGATAGGATAGGATAGGATAGGATAGGATAGAATAGAATAGAATAGAATAGAATAGAATAGAATAGAATAGAATAGAATAGAATAGAACAGTTGCTGTGCCAAACCAGACTGTTATAGAGGTACAAATGACAGACTCAATAATTCCTCTGTCAGCTGCTCCTTTATAATTCCTTTATAACTTTTTAGTGCTCGGAACTGAACGAGAAGTTAAGCCTCCTGCTCCAGGCTCTCCACTCTGAAACCCAGGTTAGTCCAAGCCTTTCCCACATGGCTACGATCCCCATCGCTGAGGAAGAACCGGACGAGTCATCGAGTGAAGAATCTTTGTCGGATGCCAAAGAACTGTTCACCGAGAACAACGCAGCATCTCCGACCCAACAGATGTTCAAATCCCGAGAGCAGCTGATGCTACGGGCCAACAGCTTAAAGAAAGCTCTGAGACAGATCATTGAGCAAGCAGAAAAAGGTGAAGGAAATTTTAATTGTCTAGCTGTGCTTGGGATCGTGGTTTGTTGATGGGGCTAACTAACAATTGAAACTTGGCCTAAGCTAAACCCTTTTTGACTGGTACAAGGACGGGGCTAAATGTCTATGGAGATTCTCACTCAGCCAGGTCATGGTTGTCCCCAAAGTGCTTTGTTTCAAGAGGCAACTGGAAACTTGAAGACGTTTTGCTTCTCCCCCAAGAAGCTTCTTCAGTTCTGAAGAAGCTTCAGAACTTCTGAAGAACCGAAGAAGCTTCTCGGACGAGAAGCTTCGAGGAAAACCAAAGAAAGTCCAGTTGCCTTATGAAAAAACAACAACACACCTTTGAGACAATTTCTCCCTCTGTAACTTGGATACCTTCTCCAGCCTATCTGCAAATGAAGGTTTGTTTCCCTGGTAGAGTAACTACCGCTTGCTGTATCATCTAAAATGTACCAAGTGAGGTTAACCATGGTTTAACAATGGTTTGGTCAACTTACCCCTTTGTGTTGAAAATCATTTGGGTTTCTTTCCAGACACATAAAAAAAATTGATACAACTTTCTCATTAGTTTTCGCAGCAGAAATCAAATAGATTGCACAGGCCAGTGCAGGAGGCATATAGCCATTTCTCCTTCTATGGTTTCTTGCTGGTTTTCTTTAATAATTAATAGTGGCGTTTGGTGTTACAGTGGTGGATGAACAGAATGCACATAGTGAAGATCAATTAAACCAGGCCACGATGGACTATAATAAGGAATTAGAGGAATCCAAGGAAGAAAAAGACGAAGACACCAAAGAATATGAATGTCATCCGAGTAAGTAAACAGAAAAGGATATTTGCATATTCTATTCTATTCTATTCTATTCTATTCTATTCTATTCTATTCTATTCTATTCTATTCTATTCTATTTTCTATTTTCTATTTTCTATTTTCTATAGTCTATAGTCTATATTCTATATTCTATATTCTATATTATTCCAGAGTGGTACAGTGGCCTAGAGGTGGAGCTCTCGCCTCACAATCAGGAGGCTGTGAGTTTGATCCTAGGCAGAGGCAGATATTTCTCTGTCTGGGCACAATGAGAATGTATCTACTGAACAAAACTCCACCTTGGCAACAAGAAGGGCATCCGGCCAGTAAATACTCCACTAGCTCCAGTCAGTTGCCCTGACTCCACCCCGCAAGGGATTATGGGGTCGTTAAAAGATGACGATTCTCTATATTATTCAGTTCCGTTCCATCCCATTTTCTATTCCATTTTCTATTTTGAAATCTGTTTTACTTCTATGAAGGAAAAAGCCCCTACATTCCTAAAATGAAATAGAAAGCGTTTCCAGCAAGTAAAAGATTATCCTAGTGCAGTGATGGGTAACCTTTTTGCCATCGCGTGCCAGGAGGGGGTCACGGGGGGTGGGGGGGTTGCATGCGTGTGTGCCCATACCCATAAATCTATGCGCCCCGACCCCGCGCGCATGACTCCTCCCCATTCCCCGTGCTCCTGGCACATGATGGCCCAGTAGGCCCGTTTTTCTTTCTCACCTGGCTCCAGGGCCTCTCTAGGAGTCTGGGGAGGGAGAAAACGGCCTTCCCCATCATGCCGGAGGTCCTGCAGAGGCTGAAAACAGCCGGTTTCCCTACTTCTGATGGGCCCAGAAGACCCAAAAAATCAGCTGCCGGAGCTGAGCTCGCGTGCCCACTGATATGCCTATGTGTGCCACCTGTGGCACGCGTGCCATAGGTTCGCCATCACGATCCTAAGTGGTTGCCATGGTTCATTTATGTCATTTTCACAAGTATAACCTAAAGTACAGGTAATCCTCGACTAACGACCACATCTGAGCCCAAAATCTATGTTGCCAAGCGAGACAGTTCTTAATTGAGCTTTGCCCCATTCAATGACTTTTCTTTCCACCCTTGTTGTTCAGTGAATCATTGCAGTCGTTAAATTAATAACTTCGTTGTTAAGTGAATCTGGCTTCTCCAATGACTTTGCTCAGATGGTCAAATGGTCACAAAAGGGGATTGCGTGGCCTCGGGACACTGCAACCGTCATAAATACGAGTCAGTTGCCAGTTTTGAATTTTGATCATGTAACCATGGAGATACCGCAGTGGTCATAAGTGTGGGAAAATGGTCCTAGGTCACTTTTTTTCAATGCTGTTGTAACTTTGAACGGTCCCTAAATGAACTGTTGTAAATCGAGGACTACTTGCATATATTTTCACTCTATGACCAGTTAAAACTGCCCCAAAGGTCCAGAAGGAGAAAGGAAGCTCATAAAATCCTTCTCCTGCTGATTCTTTTTCAGTCCCAGTTGGTGTCGCCAGCAAGGAAAATCTTCCAGTCCTGAACACAAGAATAATTTGTCCAGGTAATGAAGACTTCATAATTCATTTTTTTTTTGAGAAATTAATTGGAACCAGGCCAGATTCAGCTGCCCCTACAATTCATGTCTTAGATGGAGGAGCTACATGATGGGGAAAACAGAGTAGTTCCACCTTAGTATCCATCATGAGAAGGTCCTTATTCCTTGAGTCCTCCTGGCAGGAGAAACTTCTCTATGGATGTAAGATGGACTTTGATTTTCAATTTCCCAGGGTCTAGAGACGGTCATTTGGTATACATTGTCCCTTACTTTGAAGAGAAGCAGCTGAGATGACCCAGTCGAATCCACCGTGTATTTACCATTCAAGGAATGGACGGGAAGCGCTTGTTAATCCAATCTATCAAATTGGCACCGTTTTATGGGGATTTTATCATGGTTTTATCTTAATGTAATATTTTATCTTATATATTGCACTGTCCTCATATTTTAGATAGGTAGATAGATAGTTAGATAGATAGATAGATAGATAGATAGATAGATAGATAGATAGATATAGATGGATGGATGGATGGATGGGTAGATAAGAAAGAGAGAGGATAGGTGGAGGGAGGGATGAATGGATAGATAGATGGATGGATGAATGGATAAGAAAGAGAGAGGATAGATGGATGGATGGATGGATGGATGGATAGATAAGAAAGAGAGAGGATAGATGGATGAATGGATGGATGGATGGATGATAGATAGAGAGAAAAGATAGATAGGTGGATAGATGGTAGACAGACAGACAGACGATAGAAAGAGAGAGAAGATAGATGGGTGGATAGATAGATAGATAGATAGATAGATAGATAGATAGATAGTTGGATAGATAAGAGAGGATAGGTGGAGGGATGGATGAATGGATAGATAGATGATAGATAGATAGATAGATAGATAGATAGATAGATAGATAGATAGATGATAGAATGAGAAAAGATAGATAGGTGGGTAGATAGGTAGATGATAGATAGATAGATAGATAGATAGATAGATAGATAGATAGATAGATAGACAGACAGACAGACAGACGGACGGACTATAGAAAGAGAGAGAAGATAGGTGGGTGGGTAGATAGATAGATAGACAGACAGACAGACAAACGATAGAAAGAGAGAAGGGTGGATAGATAGGTAGATGGTAGATAGATAGATAGATAGACAGACAGACAGACAAACAGACAGACAGACGATAGAAAGAGAGAGAAGATAGATGGATGGGTAGATAGATAAATAGATAGACAGACAGACAGACAGACATCCACCCACACCCACACAAACATAGAGATAGATATATATTTTAATCACTGTCCATCTTGAATACCTATCAGAAAGAGGAAACCTGAGAGGTTGATACTATATGGAATGAATATATATATACATACACACGGTATATACACATACATACATACATACATACATACATACATACATACATACATATCTGCTGATGGCTCTACTTAAATTTATATTTGTGTTTGTAGGTCTAATATGGTTTATGAGTGTTGTATATCAGCAATTACAAGACCTCTGTAGATTTTTGGTGTTCAGTTGCTAAGTCGTGTCTGATTCTTTGCAACGTGTTCAGTAGAAAAAGAGACTTACTTTCTTCTCTTAAAATTTTGTCCCTTTCTGTTTCCAACGAATGGAAGGGAGATGTTCAGAAACTTAGAAAAAGAAACAGATATGTTGTCACGTTTGTTGAACATTTGACGGAGAGGCAAGATTTTTAACCTGTCAACTGATTCCTAAATGACTTAAATATCTAATTAAAATGTATCCCCCTCACCCCGTTTTTCCATCAGGTCTGAGAGCGGGTCTTGCTGCCTCTATTGCGGGAAGCTCCATTATCAGCAAAATGTTACTAGCAAATATTGATCCGTATGGCGCCACCCCTTTTATTGATCCTGACCCAGAATCGCTGTAAGAAACAAGTTTAATTCTTGCTCCTTTCTCATTTAATGGGCCTTCTTTTTTTTTTTTTTTATAGTATTAATATTCGGTGCCGTTATGTTCATGTATTACACAAGAGAGCATTTAAATGCTGGAGGTTTAAGGCACTAGAATTCTTCGTTCCTTCCATCTCAGAACGAAAAAGCAGAAGTTCTAATTAGCACAAGGGAAAAAAAATTGTATTAATTTTTTTGGTTGTAAACAAAAAGCCTACAATTATCTCAGCAAAGTGCATACAGTTCTTAGAGTCCTCCGCTCTTAAGAGTTTTAACAACAATAAGATAGAGAAAATTGGCATGATTTGGGGCAAGGAATTTTCATGGAATAGAGCAGAATTCTGGGGAATTCTGGGAGCTGAAATCCACAAGTCTTGGAATTGCCAACTGGAGACCCCTGGAATAGAATAGAGTAGAGTATAGAAGAGAAGAGAATTATGGAAGAGAATGCAGAAGAGAAGAGAAGAGAGAAGAGAAGAGAGAAGAGAAGAGAGAAGATATAGAAAAGAGAATTATAGAAGAGAATGCGGAAGAGAAGAGAGAATATGTGTTAACAGAATAGAATAGAATAGAGAAGAGAAGATATACAGAATAGAAGAGAAGAGAATTATAGAAGAGAATGCAGAAGAGAGTAGAGTAGAGTAGAGTAGAGTAGGGTATAAGTAGACATGCTTAGTGCTCATTTACTACCTCTAGGGAATTAGGAGTAGCCACCCAACCTTCACAGTACTACAAGTAGTTCTCAATTTAGGACAGGTCCCTTAACTCGATTGTGAACAATGGGTTTGCTTAACGACTGGGGCATTTGGTTTAACAAAAAAGGAACCCATTTTCTCTTGGGTTCTCCTGGGTTCTAGATTTAAGAAAATGCTGACAGGGTCCCTGCAAGGACCTCTGTGCAATCCGAACCACTTTCTTCCCCCTTGAATCTAGATTGTTAGGCAAACCCTGCTATCTCTCCATACTCAGCCTACTACAATGACCCCTCTAGGATAGGATCACAAAAGATTTGGGATCGCTCTAAGAAGGAAGCTTAGAGTTGGGCTGTTTGTTTGTGCCCCTGTGCGTTGCTTCCTCCGTGTGCTATTACCAACAGGAGTTGTGCCTTTGTCTTCAGGGAAGGCTATTCAGAGAAGTGCGTCATGAACAATTATTTCGGCATCGGGTTGGACGCGAAGATTTCATTAGAATTTAACAACAAGCGGGAGGAACATCCTGAAAAATGCAGGTGAGTCACGGTGAAGATTCGAAAGAGTCCTCGCCTATGCCTTTGTGCAAACTACAGCTAGTCCTCAAGTTACAACCATTCATTTAGTGACCGTTCGAAGTTACAATGGCACTGTAACCATTTTTCACACTTACGACCGTTTCAGCATCCCCACAGTCACGTGATCCAAATCCAGAGGCAACTGGCATGTACTTGTGACAGTTGCAGTGTCCTGGAGAGGCGGGGGGCGGTGTCACGTGATTCCCTTGGCGACCTTCAGACAAGCAAAAGTCCATGGGGATTCGCTTAACAACCATGGTCAGAAAGATTGAAAAAAATGGGGCCAAACTCCCTTTGGAACCCAAGGGTTGTTCTCGCTTAGCGACAGGAATTTTGCTGGACTCCATTGTGGTCGTAAGTTGTGTGCGTAGGCAGGGGGTTGAGGTCTTACTGAAGGTTTCTGATCGATTAATCCCCTGCTTTTGTGTGATCCCTGTGTTTTTCCTTTCAGAAGCAGGACCAAGAACATGATGTGGTACGGAGTCCTTGGTACGAAAGAGCTGTTACAACGGACTTACAAAAACTTAGAGCAGAAAGTTCAACTCGAGGTAAGGCTTAAACTCCCCGACATGCTTTTTGTCTCGTGTCCCCCCGAAGCAAAATGAATCTCGACTTTTGTGTTATTTTTAGTTGTAAAAGTCAACTTCACCTTAGAATAGAATAACAGAGTTGGAAGGGACCTTGGAGGTCTTCTAGTCCAACCCCCTGCTTAGGCAGGAAACCCTGCCCCACTTCAGACAAATGGTTATCCAACATCTTCTTAAAAACTGCCAGTGTTGGAGCATTCACAACTTCTGGAGTCAAGTTGTTCCACTGATTAATTGTTCTCACTGTCAGGAAATTTCTCCTTAGTTCCAGGTTGCTTCTCTCCTTGATTATTTTCCATTCATTGCTTCTTGTCCTGCCCCCCTCAGGTGCCTTGGAGAATAGCTTGACTCCCTCTTCTTTGGGGCAGCCCCTGAGATATTGACACCTTGTCGCTGTCACACCTTGTGAGGGCAAAATATATATGTAGACAAAAGTCCAGCTGGATACGGGTAGTCCTCGACGTACTACCACAATGGAGCCCAGCAAAATTGCAGCTTACAATACTGCATTCTAACCACTGTGCCACCAGGGCTCCTACAAGTTAGCCTTCAAGTCTAACCTATATCTGTAATTAATGGAAACTCCAGTATATTTCTGTGGTTATTTATACAGTGTTTTATACCTTGCAGTGCGATGGGCAATATATCCCTCTTCCTAGCCTTCAAGGCATAGCCGTTTTGAACATCCCAAGCTACGCTGGTGGGACAAATTTCTGGGGTGGAACCAAGGAAGATGATGTAAGTCTTGCTCTTCAGGTTATCTTCTTTCCCAAGTCCTGTTGATTTTCTAAAGGAAGTTTGCATAAAAATGGAAGATACTGTTTATTAAGAGGGTTTTTTTTTTTTTTTTTAAATCCTCACTGTCTGTTTTCCAAGACTTGTTGAAGTCAATTTGGTACCCACCACATTTTCATTTGGCGTCAAGGAACATCAATAGATCAGCTCCCCCCGGAGATACGGATGATCCCGGATCTGCGTAACTTCTGCTGCGCTCTCAAGACCTTTTTATTCCAGCAGGCGGGCCTGGCCTAATCTTTTTCTCCTTTTTCTCTTTTCATACGTAAATTTTAATCTGTTTTTTAAATGATTGGGGTGTTTTAAATCTGTCTGGGCCAAATTTGTTTAATTCGGTTTTATTCTGTTTTTTAAATTTTGTATTTATGTATTTTATTGCTTGGCTGTTCACCGCCCTGAGTCCTTCGGGAGTAGGGCGGTATATAAATCAAATAAAGACTAAGACTAAAGACTAAAGATCAGTAGATGGTAGAGGCAGATATTTTGCCATTTCCAACAGCCCAGAGGTTCTCATATACTGACGAAAGATTCCAGTCCCCACCTTGTGAATAGGAACTCTTTCCAATACTTCAGTAGTGACCTTTAAAATTAGAGTTCCGTTCCAAATCTCTACCCTCTCTGATATTTAAGAAATGCCGATTTATAACCTGGAGCGAAAGACCTAACGATGACAGCAGGACCGGAATGCAAATGTTGAAATATACAAACCTGAATCGCAGGGCATAAAAAGATTTCTCTTTTTTCTCCAGATCTTCGGGGCGCCATCGTTCGACGATAAAATCTTGGAGGTGGTGGCGGTATTTGGCAGCATGCAGATGGCCGTTTCCCGGGTGATCAAACTCCAACATCATAGAATAGCCCAGGTTTGTCGGATGCCCAGAAAGAAGGAAATGAGAGCGTTCCCTATACCAGGGATCCCCAATCCGCGGGCTGAGGCCCACTCCTGGGCCGTGAACCATTCGGAACTGGGCCGTGGAAGTGATCACGCATCCTAATTTGAGCGAGTAGTGCATGCACGCAAATGGAGCTTTGTGCAGGCACGCTTACCGGCTGCTCACACAGAACCAACCCCTCCCCCGGTTATGTGGGCGTGGCTTGGGGGGCATGGTGTGGCTTGGTGGGCGTGGCTTGGTGGGGCGTGGCAGGGGAAGGGTACTGTAAAATCTGTTATGTTTGTTTATTATATTTGTATACCGCCCTTCTCCCGAAGGACTCGGGGTGGTGAACAGCCAGCAGATAAAACACAAAACATACAAAATTTAAAACAATATTAAAACCCAATTAAATTAATTTGGCCCACAGTTGAAACACCCCTATATTAAAACCCATAATTTAATAATTTAAAATTAAAACAATTTTTAAAAGTTAGGTCAGGTCAGCCCAGCTTGATGAACCAGAAACATCTTTAGGGCACGGCGGAAAGTGCGCAGAACTGGGATTCTGGTTTCTCTTCAGATCGTATAAATCTTTCGCCTTTTAGAACTGGGATCCGCTGTATCTCCGGGGGCAGCTCGTTCCAGAGGGTAGGTGCCCCCACAGAGAAGGCTCTCCCCCTGGGGGCCGCCAGCTGGCATTGTTTGGTCTCTCTGTGGGAGCGTACTGGTCGGTGGGAGGCTACCAGCGGCAGAAGGCGGTCTTGTAAATATCCGGGTCTCCATTCCCACCCCACTCCAGGGGAAGGATATTGCAAAATCTCCATTCCCACCCCACTCTGGGGCCAGCCAGAGGTGATAATTGCCGGTTCTCCGAACTGCTCAAAATTTCCACTACCGGTTCTCCAGAACCTGTCAGAACCTGCTGGATTTCACCCCTGGTTTAAGGGATCATTCACTAAGACTCCAAGTCTCTCTCACAGTTACCGTTTTTGAGCCAAGTTTCGCCTAATCTGTCATTGGCTCAAGGTTGACTCAGCCTTCCATCCTTTCTAAGGTAGGTGAAATAAGGACCCAGTTTGTGGAGGCAATAAGCTGACTTTGTATAAATATACAAAAGGATGAAGACTATTGCTGAGCACATTGTAAGCCGCCCTCAGTCTTCGGAGAAGGGCGGCATATAAATCAAATTTAAAAAAAAAAAAATTGGACCTTGGGTTTTTCCTGCCTAGGTGCAAAACCTTGTTCTTCTCAACATTACATTTTAAATTTTCTGTTTTCACTCTTAAGTGGGGCTCCAAAGTGGAAACTGATCAAGGAGAGAAGCAACTTAGAACTAAGGAGAAATTTCCTGACAGTGAGAACAATCAATCAGTGGAACAACTTTCCTCCAGAAGTTGTGAATGCTCCAACACTGGAAGTTTTTAAGAAGATGTTGGATAACCATTTGTCTGAAGTGATGGAGGGTTTCCTCCTGCCTAAGCAGGGGGTTGGACTAGAAGACCTCCAAGGTCCCTTCCAACTCTGTTATTCTAAAATTCTAAATCCCCCGCGGTGCGAAATGTAGCATCCTTCTTTTGCCCTTGGGCAAAATGGGTCTGGACAGGAGCCACCGTTCTTCGTGGAAATTTGCTTGAGCGTCTTGCAGCCTGCTGAAATCTTGTTTACTCTTTTTTTCAGTGCAGGGCGGTGAAGATCACGATACTTGGGGATGAAGGAGTACCTGTTCAGGTCGATGGGGAAGCTTGGATTCAGCCCCCAGGCATCATTAAAATTGTGCACAAGAACCGAGCCCAGATGCTAACGCGAGACAGAGTACGTCCGGGTTTTTTTGGGGGCGGGGGGCGTCTTTCTCCTAACACAGAGACTATAATAATAAAAAAAGCAGAGATAATACCGGTTACAACAGTTCTTTTAGTGATCATTCAGAGTTACAGCGCAGCTGGGGGAAAAAAAGGTGACTTTGGGACGGTTTTTATACTTAGGACCCCACGGACACATGATCCAAGTTTAGACGCTCGGCAGCTGACTCGTATTTATGATGGTTGCAGAGTCCTAGGGTCACACAATCCCCTTTTGCGACCTTCAGACCAGAGGAGTATAAACCCACTAGTTTTAAAACCAGTTTTTAAACCTAAATCAGCTTCTGAAATGTTATGTGACCCTCTGGTCTCTCTCTCTCTCTGTGAGTGTGTGTATCACTACCTCTATCTCTCTCTGTCTCTCTCTTTATCTCTCTATTTTTCCATCAATCATCTATCTATCTATCTATCTATCTATCTATCTATCTATCCATCCATCTCTATCTCTATCTCTCCATCCATCCATCCATCCATCCATCCATCCATCCATCCATCCATCCATCACTATCTATATCTCTATTACTCTCTCTCTTTCTCTCTATCCATCTATCCATCCATATCTATCTATCTATCTATCTATCTATCTATCTATCTATCCATCCATCCATCCATCCATCCCCCTCTCTCTCCATCCATATCTGTCTGTCTGTCTTTCTGTCTGTCTGTCTGTCTGTCTATCTATCTATCTATCTATCTATCTATCTATCTATCTCTATCTATCTATCTATCTATCTATCTATCTATCTATCTATCTCTATCTATCTATCCATCCATCCATCTATCCATCCATCCATCCATCCATCCATCCATCCATCCATTCATCCATCCATCCCCCTCTCTCCATCCATCTGTCTGTCTGTCTGTCTATCTATCTATCTATCTATCTATCTATCTATCTATCTATCTATCTATTACTCTCTCTATATCTATCTATCTATCTATCATCTATCTATCTATCATCTATCTATCCATCCATCCCCCCCTCTCTCCATCCATGTCTGTCTTTCTGTCTGTCTGTCTGTCTGTCTGTCTGTCTGTCTGTCTGTCTGTCTATCTATCTATCTATCTATCTATCTATCTATCTATCTATCTATCTATCATCTATCCAGAGAGTGGGGGGGGGGGGAAGAAGTAACCCAATTTTGTCTTTTGTCCTTTTATCCTTTTTTCATTGCAAGATGCACCATTAAACTACTAGACTATGAATGCCTGGCTGGGCTGTGGCTTCAAGGATGCCGGATTTATTTATTTACTTATTTTTTTTCTCAATTCTGAACAGGCCTTTGAAAGTACATTAAAATCTTGGGAAGATAAACAGAAGTGTGATTCTTGCAAACCAGGATTACGGTCCCCGTTGTATCCGCACCAGGCGGTGGAACTGGCTTCGGAGGAAGAGACGACACAGATCCAGGCTTGTTCTCAGGTGGCGGAAGAGCTGATTACCAGGTAGGGAAGAGACTAAAGGCAAAAAGCCTGTAGAGATTCTCCGTCATCCAGGTCGTGATTGTCCCAAAGGTGCTTTTTCTGGAGGCCACTGGGCTTTCTTGTTTTTTCTTTTGAAGACATTTCGCTTCTCATCCAAGAAGCTTCTTCAGCTCTGACTGGATGGTGAGGAAGGGAAGGATTTATATTCCTTGCAGACAGCTGGTCATTTGCATCCTTTGAGAGGGGCAGTTGAAGCTCTTGGAGGTTTCTCTGTGTCCTCAGGGTCCCCTGAGTGGTGCAAATGGTTCCTGTAGTCTGTATAACTATGCAATTTGGGATGAGCACCCTCTGAACGGTGTGGGAGTATGAATGGATTTCCAGAGGAAAAAAATTGCAGACTACAGGAACCATTTGCACCACTCAGGTGACCCTGAGGACACACAGAGAAACCTCCAAGTGGCCTCAACGGCTCTCAAAAACGATGCAAATGACCAGCTGTCTGCAAGGAGTACAAATCTTTCCATTCCCCACCAGCCAGTCAGAGCTGAAGAAGCTTCTTGGATGAAGAGCGAAATGTCTTCAAAAGAAAAAACAACAAAGTCCAGTTGCCTCCTGAAAAAAGCACCTTTGACACTAAAGGCAGTTCATCAATTCAGGATTATCCCCTGCCTTCTTTTTATGGGGCTTCTCAATCCTTCAGGTCATGGTTGTCCCAAAAAGTTTTGTTTTTTTGTTTTTTGTTTTTATTGAATTTGTATACCGCCCTACTCCCGAAGGACTCAGCGCGGTGAACAGCCATAAAATAAAACAATATAAATACAAAATTTAAAATAGAATAAAACGAATTAAATAATTTGGCTGAACAAATTTAAAACCCCAATACTTTAAAACCAAATTTAAAATTTAAAAAAGTGTTTTTCCCAAAAGGCAACAGGATTTTCTTGGCTTTTTTCCTCTTTTTTTTTTTTAAAAAAAAATACAGGTAGTCCTCCAAGTACGACAGCTCATTTAGTGACCATCGAAGTTACAACGGCACTGGAAAAAATGACTTATGACTGTTTTTCACACTTTTCACATGCGATCAAAATTCAGACACTTGGCAACTGGCATGTACTTATGACGGTGGCAGTGTCCCAGGGTCACGTGATCCCCCCTTTTGCGACCTTCTGGCAAGCAAAGACAACGGGGAAGCCAAGTTCGCTTAACAACCGTGTTATTAATTGAACAACTGCAGTGATTCATTTAACAACCGTGGCAGGAAAAGTTGTAAAACGGGACAAAACTAACTTAACAAATGTCTCGCTTAGCCACAGAAATTTTGAGGTCAATTGTGGTCGTACGTCGAGGACTGCCTGTATTTATGACTCCTATTTTTTTATGTTGCTTTGGTCGTTTTCCACTCTGGTTGCTTTTTATTCTTTTTATTCCGTTTTAAAGCCACCCAGAGTTGTGTATAAGTATAAGTATAATTTTATTTCTATACTGCCCTTCTCCCGAAGGACTCAGGGAGGTGTACAGCCTATTTAAAAACACAAGACAAACATCAATTAAAAATTTAAAATTATTAAATAAATTCGGCTCAATTTAAAACCCCAGAAAATTTAAAATACCCCAATTTAAAATATTACGTTGATAGCCCGTTGTGTATTGGAGACAGGCAGCTTGTAAATTTAATAAATAAAGAACAAACAAATTTTCTGGCCTTTTTCATATATTTTTTTCTCTTTTATTCCCCCTTCCCCAATCTGCTCTTTTCCACAGAATCTGTGAAGCTGCCAAAATTCACAGCCTCCTGGAGCAAGAACTGGCTCATGCAGTGAATGCTTGTTCTCATGCTTTAACCAAAGGCGGCCCGAAATTCCCTGAGGTAAAAAAATGAAAGATCTGTCTTCAAATAAGTTCTTGATAAGAATTCTCAATAAGAATGGAGGACACGTGAAGCATTAATAGCACTTTATAAGGCCTTTGTAAGGCCAAACTTGGAATATTTGCATTCAGTTTTGGTCGCCACGATGTAAACAAGATGTGGTGACTCTAGAAAGAGTGCAGAGAAGAGCAACAAAGATAATTAGGGGACTGGAGGCTAAAACATATGAAGAACAGTTGCAGGAACTGGGTATGTCTAGTCTGATGAAAAGAAGGACTAGGGGAGACATGATAGCAGTCTTCCAATATCTCAGGGACTACCACAAAGAAGAGGGAGTCAAATTATTCTCCAAAGCATCAGAAGGCAGAGAAAAAGCAATGGATGGAAACTAATCAAGGAGAGAAGCAACCTGGAACTAAGGAGAAACTTCGTGACAGTTAGAATAATTAACCAGTGGAACCGTTTGCCACCAGAAGTTGTGGGTGCTCCATGAGTGGAGGTTTTTAAGAAGAGATTGGACTGCCATTTGTCTGAAATGGCATAGGGCAATGATGGCTAGCCTTTTTGCCATCACGTGCCAGGAGCAGGAGGGGCGATGGGGGGGGTCATGCACACGCGTGCCCACACCCATAATTCTATGCATTCCGCCCCCGCACATGCGCGCACGCCCCCCACTTTCCCCCACTCCTCGCACATGATGGCCCGGTGGGCCTGGTAGGCCCGTTTTTCTCTCTCCCCAGGCTCCAGAGCTTATCTAGGAGCTTGAGGAAGGTGAAAATGACCTTCTCCCCCTGGAGGCCCTCCAAAGGCCAGAAATGGCCCGTTTGCCAACTTCCATTGGGACCAAAAGTCTCATTTTTTGCTCTCCCCAGCCTCTGGAGCCTTTCTAGGAGCCTGGAGAGGGTGAAAACGGCCTTTCCCACACCCCCGGAGGCCCTCTGGAGGCTGGAAACATCTTGTTTGCCAACTTCCGGTGGGCCCAGAAGGCCCGAAAATTAGTGGAGCTGAGCTCGCATACCCACAGATATGGCTATGTGTGCCACCTTTGGCATGTGTGCCATAGGTTCACCATCATGGGCATAGGGTTTCCTGCTTGAGCAGGAGGTTAGACTAGAAGACCTCCAAGGTCCCTTCCAACTCTGTTATTCTATTCTATTCTATTCTATTCTATTCTATTCTATTCTATTCTATTCTATTCTATTCTATTCTATTCTAGTCTAGTCTAGTCTATTCTATTCTATTCTATTCTATTCTATTCTATTCTATTCTATTCTATTCTATTCTATTCTATTCTAGTCTAGTCTAGTCTAGTCTAGTCTAGTCTATCCTATCCTATCCTATCCTATCCTATCCTATCCTATCCTATCCTATCCTATCCTATTCCAGTCCAGTCCAGTCCAGTCTATCCTATCCTATCCTATCCTATCCTATCCTATCCTATCCTATCCTATCCTATCCTATCCTATCCTATCCTATCCTATCCTAGTCTAGTCTAGTCTAGTCTAGTCTCCAAAGTTGGCAACTACTGTTAGAATTGACACATGCATAGTGAAAGGTTTAATGCTGTGCTTTTATCATATGGATCATTATCAACTCAATGAATACTTGTACACTCGTTCATACCAAACAATCACGATCTGACCAGTCTCTGATGCTGGATGTTTTTATTTCTTGAAAAGGATTTTTAAAAATATTCCATTGCTAAGCAACACAGTTGTTAAGCGAGCCTTGCCCCATCTTAAGACCTTTCTTGCCATGTTGTTAAGTTAGTCACACAATTGTTAAGTGAATCTAGCTTCCCCGTTGACTTTGGTCATCGGAAGGTCACAAAAGGAGGATCACGGGACCCCGGGATGCTGCAACCGTCATAAATATGAGTCAGTTGCCGAGGGTCTGAATTTTGATTCAGACGTGACCACAGGGGTGCTGCCACGGTCATAAGTGTGACAAACAGTCCAGAAGTCACTTTTTCTCAGTGCTGTTGTAACTCTGAACGGCCTCTAAATGAAGGGTTGTAAGTCGAGGACTACCTGTAATTAAATGTATAGCTTTGTGTTGCTGGGATCTTCATGATTTTTTTCCCCTCTGCAGATCCTTACCAGAAATACCGCGCTGGAAATAGCTGCCACTGTGAAGGCATTACATGATGAAACGGAGTCCTTGTTAATTGGGAAGGTCTCATTGGTAAGATGATGATGATGATGATGATGATGATTTACTTTATTCATTAAACATGAAACTCGGTCAACTGAACATTCAAAAATGCATCACAAATACCATTGACCGGTGCTAATGGTTGATACGGAGACAAATAGATAATGATAGACAGATGATGGATAGATAGTTGATACTAATAAAGAAGAATATTTGTAGCTCAGGATTGAAATGATGACTCCTTGCTCAGAGCTCCGAGAGCACCAAGGACCCCTGAGATAGTTGATTGATAGGTGATAGATAGATGACATAGCTCTATAGGTATAGATAGAGGTGAAAGACAGGCAGAAGGACAGAGGTTCTTATTAGACAACTCAGCCTAACCAAATTATAATTTGCTGTTTTCGTAGCAATTGGAATCCCCTTGCGAGGAGTTGCTGGTGTCGGCGGTGCACAATCTGGAGACCGAACTGAGAAAGTTGGGCGAAATTCCTTGGCTCTGCTATATTCTGCAGATGAATGATGATGAGGTGGGTGGAATTTACACGTGCAAGCCCTGATCCTCGCTGTTCCCTTTTTTTGGGGGGGGGGGGAAAGGGGGAATCGGACCGGCCTTGAAAATCTGACCCAGGTGCAGGGAAGTTAACTGCCAGAGGTTATGAATGCTTTGAGGACGGTAGTGGGATTCAAATAATTTAACAACCGGTTCTCTGCCCTAATGACTGGCTGCATGGGCGTGGCCATGGTGGGCGTGGCCAGGAGTGACAGACAGCACTCGGCCTCCTGTCCGTCCGGGAGCAAAAATGGGCCACGGGGGAGCCGTGCCGCACCTCCCGCACCCCATTTTGGGCCTAGTAGGCCTCCCTGCAGCCTCCTGGGAGGAAAAACAGGGCATGTAGAGACTCCTGGAAGGGCGGAGCCAGCCAGCAATTTAATAACTGGTTTGCCTGAACCGGCTGAATCCCACAATTGTTTGAAGATGAATTGGAAGAGGTATTTGAACCTTCAGCGAACACACCATCCTTTCGGCAGAAGGAAGGAGCTGCTTCTGATTGAGACTGAAAAAGATACAGCTGCTTTAAAGCTCTTTAAAGACTCAGAAAAGTTAATGGGATTTTAAAAGCAGCTTCCTCCGCGCCCCCCGCCCCCCCATTTTTTTCCAGGTCAGTACGGAAGCCTGAATTAAAAACAGGTTTTTTTTAAGCAGGCGCTGTGCTTATTACACAAGATCTGAATCATTTTTTCTGCACCCTTTTTGAAGTATATTCAATTCTATTTGGCTGCCGGTAAATATGGATTTTTGACTCTTCTTTGTGTAGAAAAGGTCAGGATTGATCTTGCCAGTTTTCGGGTGTGAGCAGAGAATATAAATATGTTTTTTTATGTTTTTACTGTGGGTAAGATTTTTAACTTACGAGAAATACAATTTAGTAGAAAAAATCGCTTCATAATATAGTTAATTTACACCCAACAGTTATCTCATTTTGAAAAGGGATGACTTCACCCTCCATTCAGAACATTTTCATATTGTGGAATTATTCCTAAAATTCCTCTACTTGGCAAACATTCTGTCTTCCTGGTTCGTCTTCCTGGTTCGTTTTTCAAGGTCACGATCCCTTTAAAGGATAAACTTGGATAAATGAAGGATAACTTCATTTTTCTTTCATCCTATCAAGATTATCCATCGTGTTTTACCTTTTGGATTTACAACCATCCTTTTCAACGAAGCACACCTTGCATTGAATGGATAGAGCAATAATGGCTAACCTTTTTGTCATCGCGTGCCGAAAGTGGGGCGGGGCGCAGGGCACAGGGGGGGTCGCGCGCACACGTGCCTGCACCCATAATGCAATGCATGTGTGACCCCCCCACCCCCACGCATCCACACCTGACATCCCCGTGCTCCCCTGATCCCCCCCGCACATGTGCACACGAGCCCCCCACGGCCTGTTTTTCGTCTCAGGAGGCTGATAGCAGTAGCGATGGAGGCGGGTGGTTCGGAGAACCGGTAGCAAAACACCCTGCCCCCCCCCCATGCCCAGCTGAGCCCCACAATCATCAGAGGCTTTTTTTTAACTTTTAAAAGCATTTTAAAAATGCTTTTAAAAGTAAAAAAAAAAAGCCTCTGATGATCGCGCGGCTCAGCTGGGATCATCAAAGGCTTTTAAAAGAAAAAAACCCCCTTTTTTTCTTTTAAATGCCTCTGACGATCCAATGCCTGTGACGATCCAAGCTGAGTTCCCTGATTGTCAGAGGCATTTAAAAGAAAAAAAGTCTCTGCCGATCAGGCAACTCAGCTGGGATTGTCAGAGCCTTTTGAAAGCATTTTTTTACAACCTCTTCGCCGAAGAGATTTTAGTTTATTTTTAGTTTAGTTTAGTTTTATTTGATTTGTATACCACCCTACTCCCGAAGGACTGAGGGCGTTGAACAGCCACAGGATAAAAAACATAAATACAAAATTTAAAACTGAATAAAATCGTATTAAACAATTTGGCTGAAGACAGATTTAAAACACACCAATAAATTAAAAACGAATTAAAATTTACGTTTTAAAAAGGGAAAAAAAGGAAACAGTTAGGCCAGGCCAGCCTGATGGAATGAAAAGGTCTTGAGAGTGCGGCGGAAGGTGCGCAGATCCAGGATCCTCCGTATCTCTGGGGGGAGCTCATTCCAGATAGTAGGTGCCCCCACAGAGAAGCCTCCCCCCCTGGGGGCTGCCAGTCGACATTGTTTGGCTGATGGCACCCGGAGGAGCCCCTCTCTATGGGAGCGTACCGGCCGGTGGGAGGCTATTGGTGGCAGAAGGCGGTCTCGTAAATACCCTGGTCCGATGCCATGGAGCGCTCTAAAGGTGGTAACCAAAACCTTGAAGCACACCCGGAAGACCACCGGGAGCCAGTGCAGCTCACGCAGGAGGGGTGTTACATGGGAACGATGTTGTAGAAAAAATGATTTTAAAAGTAAAAAAAAAAAAAAATTGGCCAAGCCCACCCAGTCACATTCCCCCCCCCCCCCCGCCCCTACCAAGCCACACTCACAGAACCGGTCGTAACAAATTTTAGATTTCACCACTGATGCCATAAGTTCGCCATCACGGGGAGGGAGTCTTCATTTAAAAAAAATATTACAGCTTAATCTCCTGAACACTGCTTTTAACAAATAAACTGGTGGATGCATCAAATGAAGAAAAAGAAAAAAAAAAATAATAATCTTCTTTTTTTCAGGATCCTCCTTTGGAATACTGTAAGAGAAACAGCCGAAGTACCATGTTTCGTATAGTGCCAAAGTTTAAAAAGGAAAAGGTTCAAAAACAGAAGACTGGCACCCAGCCTGGTATGTTTTCAAAAATGTTGTTGCTTGGAAGAGACAAGGTTGTGAGTGGACTGTGTGTGTAAAACACAATATGCACCGAGCTTGTCTTGGGCTTCCTTGTTAGTCCGTCTTCATGACGACTTGAAGTTGCTTTATCCCACGAGAAAGTTGTCTCTTATACATACATCTACTTGTGGGTCAAGGGTGTGTAAATGTCATGGCTTAAGGAGGCCGCAAAGTCTTGTGTGACACATATTTTAAAAGTGAGCGAATTAAGGATCCATTTGGGGATGGGGTTTTGAAGGCTGAAAATTAACAGTTTGGGCGTCTTGCAATGTTTATAGCCTATTTCACACTTTTAAACCCCACAATCTCCTCCAAAATTCAGAAAAGAGGTTCACATTTGGGGCCTAAACCACACAAGGGGACTTCAGAATCCATAAATCAAACATCTGAGGTTTCTAGACCTTATATTTTACATCTCCATCAACTTTGTCTCTGAGAACACTGAAATCTTTTGAAAGTTCTCAGATGTTCTTCAAGCTTTCGCAAGCCATTGAGTTTCTTTTAAAGACGCTATGTGCTATCCAGTTAGTCTTTTCCAAAAGATGCAGTCCCTTGAAAGTTCTCAGATGTTCTTCAAGCTTTAGCAAGCTACTGAGTTTCTTTTAAAGACACTATGTGCTATCTTATTGGTCTTTTCTAGAAGATGCAGTGCAGCCCCTTGAAAGTTCTCAGATGTTCTTCAAGCTTTAGCAAGCTATGGGGTTCTTTTAAAGGTATTATGTGCTATCCAATTGGTCTTTTCCAAAAGATGCAGTCCCTTGAAAGTTCTCAGATGTTCTTCAAGCTTTAGCAAGCTTGAAGAACAAGTTTGAAGAACAAGTTTCAGTTAAAGTCATTATGTGCTATTTTACTGGTCTTCTCCAGCAGATGCCGTCAAGTCCTCAGTGTGTTTTAAGAGTGAACCATCTAGCCACCGCAAGGCACAAAACTTGACCGTTGTGCTCTGTGAATATGTTCTCCTTCTCCAGAACGTGCTATTAATTTCTGCATTGTTCAAGGTTTCCTCCGCAGAAAAATCAGCGTAGAAACTATTATCTAAACAAAGAATGACACTTTTTAAGATACTGAAGCTCCATAGAACATTTCTTTTCATTAGGAAACAGACTTCCGTGGTTTTACTTTCTCATTGTTACAGGTTGGCATTATGCCATACGTAAGTCCTATTTTTAAAACAATATCATACCGGGATTTCAGTTTCAAAGTGCCAAAAAAAAAAAAAAAAAAAGCCACGTGAAGAATTTTTAATTAACTGCAGGAATATAATTGAAATGATTGACTTTGGAATTCCTTGGAGGTATCCTGGGTCATAGGTAACTTCCGATAAAACGACTTTTGATAAAATACACCCTCAATTGCTTTTCCATGCCTCCTCCAGTATTAAAATCCTTTCTCTATGGGCCACATGATATGTACAGAACTTTAAAGGGCTGTTTATTTGACCTGGTGAAAGAAGTAATGCTTGAATTAAACGTGGCAGCTGTTTTAAGTCTCCACAAAGGCAATTTTTCCCCGTTTGCATTTCAGTCAATATATTGATGGGTCCTTGGTGCTCTCTGAGCTTGGTGGTTTTTTTGCAGACGTTTCATTACCCAACTAGGGAACATCTTCAGTGCTAGAAGGGAGTGGGGTTTGCAGAGAGGAGGAAGAGGAGGAGGGGGAGGAAGACTATGGGGTCCTTGGTGCTCTCTGAGTTTGGTGGTTTACGTTTTATTATCCAAACTAGGTAACATCATGAGTGCTAGCACCAAGGGCCTCATTTCCACCTACAAATTATTCACTTTTATTGGAAATAATAGATTGCAATTTGCACATCCTGGAATACCTATAGACAGCACCGATCCTAATTAGTCAAGCTAATGAGTTGGCATCGAGATGCTTGACGGCGTAGTAGCTGGATGTTGGAGCTGAGAGCATGGCTAAGATCCAGGCAGCCCTCAGATTCCTGGGTTTTCCCTACTTTTAACCTGCATGTCAGCGTGACTTCCGCTATCACCGCGCTGCTCTCTTCTCTTCCGTTTCCCGCCTTCTACGGCCTAACCCTTTGCTTGTTGTGCTGTGCCCAGCATGTAGAAAAAAAAAAAAAATTAAGGGGGTTTTGCTCTTAACTTTGGTAGTTCAGAAATGGGGCACGGATGAAGTCGCTTCTTGGTTGGACCTGCTGAGTTTGGGAGAATACAAAGAAACTTTCATCAGCCACGACATCCGAGGGGCCGAACTTTTACACCTGGAGAGGCGAGATCTGAAGGTATTGGCCTTGTGTTACTTTTTCTGCCTTAAGAGCATTTCAAAAAAAATGGATGAAAGCTTTTCCTCTCTTTTCCCGTCCCAGCGATGTGCTTGTAGCTTGGCTTTTTAACACGCAACCCTGCATAACTCCCCCCCTGGCCAAAAACGGCTGTCTTGTTAGGCTGAATTTCTCTGTCTGGTGAGAATAAGAAGGACAAGTATTTTCCTTTTGAAAGAGGTCTTAGAGACTCTTAGAGACAAACGTGAGCCATGCCCTGTGCGGCGGTGGCCAAAAAAGCTAACACAATCCCTGGTTGTATAAACAGAGGCATAGAATCAAAATCATGTGAAGTATTAGTACCGCTTTATAAAGCCTTAGTAAGGCCACACTGTATTCCCAGCATCCAGTTTTGGTCACCACGTTACAAAAAGACGTTGAGACTTTGGAAAAAGTGCAAAGAAGAGCAACTCAAATGATGAAAGGCCTGGAGACAAAAACATATGAAGAAAAGGTTGCAGGAACTGGGCATGGCTAATCTGGAGAAAAAAAGGATTAGGGGCAGTGGTGAAATCCTCCGTGGATCACCATCAGTTTGCTGCCCGCCAAAAGCACGCTGCGTGTGGGCATGCATACTGTGCACCAAAAGCGTGCTGTGCGAACATGCACAACACACACCAAAAACACGCTTCATGCGCGCATGCACATTGCGCACCAAATGCGCACTGCGCGTGGAAAAAGAAGACTTCAGTAAGTAAGTAGAACAGCAAGGGGCGGGGAACAGCTGTGCCGCGTGATTTAGTTTCATTAGAAAGCAGGATTTCCTGCTATCTAGCTAATATAAACTGCGCGGCACAGCTGATCGTTGGAAATACCGGTTCAAACGAACCGGTAGCTTTTTTTAATCTACCGGTTCGGGCGAACTGGTAGTTTTTATCACTACCAGTTTGCCCAAACTGGAGCGAACGGTAGCATTTCATCCCTGACTAGGGGAGACATGATAGCAATATTCCAGTATTTGAGATGCTGCCAAGCTCTTATTTTGTTCAGTGTGGGTTTCATTGTGTTTTTTGTTTATTATTATTTGTGGTGTATGTGTACTTCTCCCTAATCTACAAAAACACAAATCGTCAGATACAATAATAGAGAGAGAGAGAGAGAGAGACATTTAACATCCAGTTTGCATGTTAAAACAAGCATTTAGGTTGGTTCGGGGCCTAAACGACAACAGAGAGTGGATACCAAAAAATCAATGTAGCAATTAGAGCTCTGGATTTGATTCCAAGAGCAAAAACAACATCTTTGGGTGGCTCTTTAAAGCAACCGCACCTTTTCCTGGGTTACGGAGAGCAGCAATGTGATTCTGGGTGAGGACTCGGCTGCTTTAAAGAGCTGCAGATGGATGCTACATTTGACCTCTTGTATGCTTCCAAATTATTTACAAAGCATTGCACAATGCTAAAAGCAGAGCATGTACACACACAAGCACAAAGAACTCGGATAAAACATCTTCGAAAGGTTTACCTGCATTGGACTTTGTATCATAGTAACACCTGTAGTGTGTTTACCCGTACAGCTCTGTACACTGCTGATGTTACAGAAATAAGTCTGTCTGCAGGGGGTCCTTGACTTACGACCACAATGGAGCCCATATTATCCGTTGCTAAGCGAAACAGTTCTTAAGAGAGCTTTGCCCCATTCTATTACCTTTCTTGCCACCGTTGCTGAATGAATCACTGCCGTTATTAAGTTAGTAAGATGGTCATTAAGCGAATCTGGCTTCCCCATCGACTTTGCTGGTCAGGAGGTCGCAAAAGGGGATGGCGTGACCGCGGGACACTGCAACCGTCATAAATATGAGTTGGTCGCTAAGTGTCTGAATTTTGATCGTGCGACCACAGGGATGTCAGCGTGAACAACGGTCAGAAGTCACATTTTTCAGGGACGTTGTAACTTCGAACGGTCACTAAACGAATATGGTGCATTGAGAATTACCCGTCTTCGTATTTCTTTGTGGAGTTTAAGAGAACAGAAAGTGCAGAATAACCAATTATGTTTATTAATTTTAGGGAAGATCATATTGACCCCAAAAATTTCTTTAATAACCAAGCTTGGCGAGACTGTGAGTTCTTGTTGTGTTGCTCTGCTGTCAGGCCGTCGTAAACTGGAACCGGTCAGTGGAAGCATTAATCGAAATGAGCATAGGAGGGCAGCAGTGCATAACTAGGGAAATACAAATTAATGTGGAAATTCTGGATTTTGAACGAAGGGCTTTGGAGCTGCAATGCCAGCAAGGCAGGAAGTAAACCTCTTGAAATTTACACATGAATTACTCCGTGAGCTGATTGTCTCTGGAGATTCTCCATCCTCCAGGTTCATGGTTATCCCAAAGGTGCTTTTTTCAAGAGGCAACTGGACTCTCTGGTTTGTTCTTAGAAGACGTTTTGCTCCTCATCCAAGAAGCTTCTTCAGCTCTTGAGTGGAAGTCCTTCCATTTTTCATCTCCCACTCAGAGTTGAAGAAGCTTCTTGGATGGGAAGCGAAACGTCTTCAAAGAAAAAACAAGGAAGGCGAGTTGCTTCTTGAAAAAAGGAAGTTTGGGACCCCACGAGCTACAAGCAGTGGCCCTGGGTAGGGTTCTGTGCAGTGGGGGGATTCAGCTGGTTCAGGCCAGTTCAGGAGAACCGGTAGTTAAATTGCTAGCTGCCCCACCGCTTCCAGGAGTCCCCACATGCTCCGTTTTTGCTCCCAGGAGGCTGCAGGGAGGCCTACTAGGCCCAAAATGGGGTGCGGCGGGGCAGTGCCACCCCGTGGCCCATTTTTGCTCCCAGGGGGATGCAGGAGGCCAATTGCTGCCTGTCACACCCCCTGGCTACGCCCACCATGGCCACACCCACCCAGCTGGTTAAATTATTTGAATCCCACCACTGGTTCTGTGCGATCTGAAAATCCCAAGGTTTACAACCGCTTTCTTAGCAACCATTCAAAGTTACAATGGATCCCCCTGCCTCCCCCTATAAAAAGGCACTTATATGACGCAGTTCCAAGGGCCACTCTCTCCGTGGTTACATGTTTACCATTCAAGCACTTAGCAACTGGCCAACATTGATGGTGGTTTGCACCATCCTGCAGATACGGGACTGTGGCTTCTAAGTTCCCGACTTACAGTTCATTTAGCGACCATTCAGACGGCACTGCAAAAAGTGACTTACGACCATTTTTCACACTTTTGACCATTGCAGCATCCCCAGGGTCACTTGGCTTGGCAACTGGCATGTACTTACGACAGTTGTAATGTCCTGGGGGGGGGTCACGTGATCCCCTTTTACGACCTTCTGACCAGCAAAGTCGATGGGGAGGCCAGATTCACTTAAACAACCGTGTGGCTAATTTAACAACGGCAGTGGTTCACTTTAACAAGCGGGACAAGAAAGGTTGTAAAATGAGGGGGAACTCACTTAACATCTCGTTTAGCAACAAAGAGTTAGGTCTCAATTTTGGTCGCACGTCGAGGACCGCCTGTGTAATATTTTTGCGGAAAGCTGGTGTTTGCTCTTCTATTTTCAGCAAAAACAGCCCCCCAGCAAACAATGAGTTTGCGTAACGACCACAGCAGTGGTGGGTTGCTCACGGTTTGCACCGGTTCGCAAGAACCGGTAGTAAAAATTTTTAGTAGTTTCGGAGAATCGGTAATAACATTGGCTGGCCACGCCCCCGAACCGGTCCCCGGCCTGGTCGCCACTCACTTACCCCGCCCACCTCATCAGAGGCTTTTTTTAAAAAAAACTTTTAAAAGCATTTTTTCTACAACCTCTTCGGCTGAAAAAATGCTTTTAAAATTAAAAAAAAAAAGCCTCTGATGATCACACGGCTCAGCTGGAATCGTCAGAGGCTTTTCAAAGCATTTTTTCTGCAACCTCTTCAGCCAAAGAGGTTGTAGGGGAAAAAAATGCTTTGAAAAGCTTCTGACGATCCCAGATGATTTGCCTGATTGGCAGAGGCTTTTCAAAGCATTTTTTTCTGCAAAATGCAGGGGGAAAAAATGCCTTTAAAAGCCTCTGGCGATCCCAGCAGGTTTGCCTCATCGTCAGAAGCTTCTAAAAGCATTTTTTTCTGCAACCTCTTAAGATTGTAGAAAAAATGCTTTTAAAAGTTTTTTTTAAAAAAAAGTTGGCCACGTCCGCCCAGTCACATTACCCCCAAGCCACGCCCACAAAATAAACCACGCCCACAGAACCGGTAGTAAAAAAATTTAGAACCCACCCCTGGACCACAGCGTTCGCTTAATAACGGCAGATTCACTTAAGGACCGCCGCAATAAAAAGGTCATTAAAAGTGTGACAAGTGTCACGACTTAATGATTGTATAATGAACCCAGTCCTTTACGGTCATAAGTTGAAGACTGCCTGTAAACATTGAGAGGGATTTCAAGACGCAATTTTCTGTTTTGTTTTAAAAGTAATGTATTTCTGCTTTCCTGCGCTGTTCCACATTGATCTTGAGCTTTACAGATGGTTTCTGATTTCTGAACCTGAAATCTTACAAAGATGGGCCTCCAACCATATTTTTTAAAAATAGAACAAAAAACACTTTGTGATATGACGACATCCTGCACAAGAGGTTTTGTCTGTGATCTAAAATCAATTTTATACATGATGTCGGACAAGTTTTCCTGATGCCTATTTTGTTCTGCTAGATTTCCTAATGCTTCCCCTGTTATTTAAGACTGTTGCTGGTTATTTTATTTTACTTGCCTTGCTGGATATTTGAAGATGCTACGGCAAAATGGTAATTTCCATAATGTCATTCAAGAAACAAATGTTTACAATTTGATTTGGTGTCATTCCACATTCCAGGGAGACAAATCAAGAACGTATGTTTAAAAATCTAAGAAATAAAGAATGCAGGGAAAAAAATAGACAGCACCCACTTCTTGTACAAAACATTTCCTTGGAAACACAATTCAGTGTCTAAATAAGTTGATATCATTATCATCATTTAAAGACCTCGTAATCCCTTGCGGGGTGGAGTCTGGGCAACTGAATGGAGCTAGCAGAGTGTTTTAATGGCCAGATGCCCTTCCTGTCACCAATACGGAGTTTTGTTCAGCAGATATATTCTCATTGGGCCCAGGGAGAGAAATATCTGCCTCTATGTAGAATCGAACTCACAGTCTCCTGATTGTGAGGCGAGAACTCCACCTCTAGGCCACCGCACCACTCTGTCTAAATAAGTTGATATGTATGGGAAAAAAATGGACTAATTGTCTAAAATGGGCGCTCTCTAAACTAGCTTTATTGCCGAAAGTTAAATGATGTTCTGCTACTCTGGATTTCTGGGAATGAATCTGTCTTCTCCCTTGTCCCGTAGGATTTGGGGATAACGAAAGTGGGTCATATGAAGCGAATTCTTCAGGGAATTAAAGAATTTGGCAGGAGCCCACCGTTACCGGAACTGTAGCTGTGCCAGCTGCTCCGTCGAGGAAGTGCTACTTACACAAAGGTGTAGAAGGACGTGGATTCCTTCCGGGCGAGTAAATGCCAGGTTGTGAGAAGAGCATTAACTCTGATCGGGGCGAGGTTTGATGAACCAGCTGAATGAGAGTATCCAAAAGGTTTTGTGGTTCTAAATCAATCTTTTAATGACCCGATAATCCCTTGCGGGGTGGAGTCTTGGCAACTGAATGGAGCTGAGTGTTTACTGGCCGGATGCCCTTCCCTGTCGCCAATGCAGAGTTTTGTCCAGCAGATATATTCTCATTGTGCCCAGAGAGAGAAATATCTGCCTCTACCTAGGATCGAACTCACAGCCTCCTGATTGTGAGGCAAGAGCTCCACTTCTAGGCCACCGCACTATTGTTTTGTGGGTCTAAAAAGCCTGTGAAATATATTACGAGAAGTAATCGAAATGTCTCCATTACAGTAAAAAAACAAACCAACACCACCACGTTTCCCGGGTAGCATGTACGTTATTTGGACCCTGATAATCCTTTCAGGTTCTTTCAATTTGCAAATGACGAATCGTTTTACAAAATGAGATTGTTCTGTTTTGACAAATCCTTGAAGCTTCACTTTATCCAGAGCCTCCAGTGTCTTCGTAGACTCGATCCCATCCGGATGTTTCGGTGGTACCTCAAAACCATCCTTCTCTCGGGTTTTTCCCCCCCCCCTCATTGGCCGAAAATAACGTTGGATGCCGTGAACGGACATGCCAAAACGCCCAAAATGCCTGCCTGTTTGCATGATAACTTCTTACACTTGAAGAACTTTTATATCTGTTTTAATAAGGTTTAATTTATTACTGTTTTTTTTTCAGGGGGCGGGTGGGTGTTAGGGATTTTATTTTTTTTCTCCTGATGTGATAGAAACATGCTGCGTGTGGTGGACATAACTGCCGTATTCTAGCTGTGAAAAATGTCTTCTACTCTGGCTTCGGGTAATTTCAGAGTATTTTGAAAATTGCTAGAACACGGCAGGTTTAGGATTTGGTTTCCTGAGGGAGAATGATCTGAACCTTTTATCAACCTCATGGTTGATAAAATATGCAACGCTTACTCACTTCCTTAAAAGCAAACTCAAGTTGAATCTCCAACGTCTGAGCGTCAAAATGTGGCGGCCGAGCGACTCGAAGTGCATCAGATCTGATGAACATCAAGATTATGCAATTTTAATGAAATATGGAAAGGTTACAGAGCCTGGTCTTTAACGCATGCATTAAGCCAATTATATATATATTTTTAAAAAAATCAGTTTAGAGATGGATTTAACTCATCAGAAGTATTGTTATCCAACCATTTTGTTAATATGGACTGGAAAATTTGGTTGATTGGAGCAGAAAAAAAGACATTCCTTTTTGCTGAAAATCATGCATCTGCTTCAGAGCCAGGAAACCTCGGATTCTAGATATTGTGGAATCCAGGAAGATCAGCAGAGGAATCCAGAAAAGTTAAGATGGTATCTCGATGGTGGGCCCACTCTGAATGAACTACAGCTCCCAACAGCCACCGCAGTTGTCTATGGAGATTCTCCATCATCCAAGGTCAAGGTTTTCCCACAGGTGTTTTTTTCCAAAAGACAACTGGACTTTCTTCTTCTTTCTTAATTCCTTTGAAAATGTTTCGTTTCTCATCCTAGAAGCTTCTTCAATTCTCAGTGAAGAGAACTGAAGTGAACAGAAGAAGCTTCTTGGATGAGAAGCGAAACAGAAGCGAAACAAAGCACCTGAAGGCAGGACAAGAAGCCATGGATGAAAACTAATCAAGGAGAGAAGCAACCTGGAATTAAGGAGAAATTTCCTGACAGAACAATTAATCAGGGGATGACTTGCCTCCAGAAGTTGTGAATTCTCCAACACTGGAAGTTTTTAAGAAGAGATTGGACAAACGTTTGTCTGAAATTGTATAGGGCCGTGATGGTGAACCTACGGCACGCGTGCCACAGGTGACACACGGAGCCATATTGGTGGGCATGCAACTGTTGCCCTAGCTCAGCTCCAGAGCGCATGTCCGCGCCGGCCAGCTGATTTTCGGGCCTTCCGGTCCCACTGGAAGTTGGGAAATGGGCCGTTTCCAGCCTCCGGAGGGCCTCCGAGTGTGTGGGGAAGGCTGTTTTTGCCCTCCCCAGGCTCCTAGAAAGCCTCTGGAGCCTGGGGAGGGTGAAAAATGGGCTTCCAATCCCACTGGAAGTCGGGAAATGGGCCGTTTCTGGTCTCCGGACGGCCTCCAGCAGGGTGAGGAGGGCTGTTTTAACCCTCCCCAGGCTCCAAGAAAGCGTCTGGAGGGAGAAAAACAGGCCTACCAGGCCCACCGAGCCATCGCATGCCAAAACCAGGGGGAAGTGTGGGGAGAATCACATGCACATGCGCGGGAGGGCAGGGCGCATTGAATTATGGATGTGGGCCTGCACGCCTGCGACCCCCTCATGCTCCCCCTGCTTTTGTCACGTGACGGCAAAAAGGTTAGCCGTCACTGGTATAGGGTCTCCTGCCTGAGCACGGGGTTGGACTAGAAGACCTCCAAGATCCCTTCCAACTCTGTTATTCTATTCTATTCTGTTTTGTTCTGTTGTGTTCTGTTCTATTCTGTATATTTTCTATTTTCTATTTTCTATTTTCTATTTTCTATTTTCTATTCTATTCTATTCTATTCTATTCTATTCTATTCTATTCTATTCTAAAAAAAACCAAGTTCAGTTGTCCTTTGGAAAAAGCGCCTGTGGGATTTCCCATTTGTGGGCTCTTAAATTCCTTCCGCCAGCTTTTAAAGCATTACAAGCTAACCATTATACAGGGAACTGAAGATTGTGTCTGAATCAGGACTGAATTCCATTTCTCCAAACAGTCAGACCCTCAACTCTAGTTCAATAGTTTGTTTCCAGGTTGGGTTTCTCTAACAACCCCAATGTCCTGCTTCTCACATTAAACTAAGTTTTTGTCCTCTTGGCTAGTGTCAGTTATAGTCCTCGGTTTACAACTGTCCATTTAGTGACTGTTCGACTTGTTAGCAGGTCGCGAAAGGAGATCACATGACCCTGGGAAATTACAACCGTCATAAGTACATGCCAGTTGCCAAGCCTCTGAATTTTGATCACCTGACCACAACGGTTGTGTGAAAAAAAACGATCATGTCATTTTTTTCAATGCCGGTCAATCAAGGAACTGTTGTAAAACGAGGATTTCCTGTACTAAAATTACTGAAAGTCACAGAAATTAACTTTAGAACAAGCCTTTCAAAGCTTAACTGCCACTAAAGATAGCAACATCTACTCAAGAAGGGGAATATGAAATATATTAAATGTTTACTTACTTAAGATTTAAGATGGCTTAGTGGATATGTGCAAACACTTTTCATGGAATTGTGTGCAAAGCAAAGGAAAGCAACAGGGATTTGGCTTGGAAAGCAAATCGCTTGTAAACCGACCTCACTTACTGAAACCTTCGTGGGAAGTTTACGTATTTTCTCAGCGTTTACATCAATATTTGCCCCAGATTGCATTTGTTAACTACACTCATTTTGATATTTTGCCATACCTATCGCATTCTTGGCTCACAGAGTTGCAAATACCGCTCTGCTATGCACAATAATACTTTTTCTTTTTCTTTTTTAAACCCTTGTGGGTTAAAAAAAAGGAAATAACAGAAGGCTGGCATGGACCGAAAAAGAGGCTATAATTATTCTTAATTTAGCCACGATTACTCGCTCTGTGCTTTTCCCCTTTCGGAATATTAATATGCTGTTCTAGGGAAGGGAACAATGCATTAGCTAGAATATCCCGAATGCAGAAAATTAGATTTTTTTAAAAAAGAAAAAAAAAAAAATCCTTGAAATAGAATTTTCCCTGCTGCTTCCTTGTGATTTAATTAAAGCCGTGTTCTAAATTCGCACAAAAAGTTAGTTGTTCTTTCTAACTAACTGTGTTTTTATCTTAATCTTTCTTTTTTTTTTTCCCCAGTCCGGAAAATAAAAAGAAAGTCCTTTTAGAAAAACTGTATTCAGTCAGCATAGCTATTGTGTTTCCCCTCCCAACGCATAATAACTCACAGTTATTTGATTCCTATAGTCCTAAATTTTTTTCTTGAAGATAGCAAGCGGATGCGTACAAGGGTTTAAAAAAGGCCTACAATCATGGACTAGGGGTCCCATCAGAGGTGGGTTCCAGCAGATTCTAACCAGTTCTGGAGAACCGGTAGCGGAAATTTTGAGTAGTTCGGTAAATATCGCTTCTAACTGGCTCCGCCCCATCTATTCTCTGCCTCCCGAGTCCCAGCTGATCGGGAGGAAATGGGGATTTTGCAGTAACCTTCCTCTGCAGTGGGGAGGGAATGGAAATTTTATAGTATCCTTCCCCTGCCACGCCCACCAAGCCATGCCACACCCACCAACCCACACCCACAGAACCGGTAGTAAAAAAATTTGAAACCCACCACTGCGTCCCAATCTTGAAATTTATTTTTGACTTCCTTCTTTGTGGATACACCTGGAAGGTGGGTTGCCAGTTTAACACAGGTGGTCCTCGACGCACGACCACAACGGACCCCAAAATTTCTGTTGCTAAGCGAGACATTCGTTGAGTGAGTTTTGCCCCATTTTACGAGCTTTCTTGCCACGGTTGTTAAGTGAATCTGGCTTCCCCGTTTTGACTTTGCTTATCGGAAAATGGCAAAAGGTAGCTCACGTGACTGTGGGACACTGCGACCATCTTAAATAAGAGTCAGTGGCCAAGCGGCTGAATTTTGATCGCCTGACCATGGGATGTTGCAATGGTCGTTAAGTGTGAAAAACGTCCATCGGTCACTTTTTTCCTGTGTCGCTGTAACTTCGAGCGTTCACTAAATGAATTTTTGTAAGTGGAGAACTACCTGTATTCATTCGATCTGCTCCAATCTCCTGGTTTTCCCAGCGTTCGACAGCCACAGTGTGATATATTTAGTGTTGATCTACTTAGTCGAAGAATAACAGAGTTGGAAGGGACCTTGGAGGTCTTCTAGTCTGACCCCCTGCTCAGGCAGGACACCCTGTACTATTTCAGACAAAATGGTTGTCCAATCTCTTCTTAAAAACCTTCAGTGTTGGAGCATCCACAATTTCTGGTGGCAAGCTGTTCCACTGGTTAATTGTCCTCACTGTCAGGAAATTTCTCCTTAGTTCCAGGTTGCTTCTCTCCTTGGTGAGTTTCCATCCGTTGTTTCTTGTCCTCCGACTTAAGTGCTTCGGAGAATGCAAAATTCTTATTGTTGAATGAGTGTGCCATTATCAGTGGAAACACACAATCCTGAATCTTAACTCTGGGTTCCAGCACCCTGCTGATATAGAAATGGATTTTAATTCTATATAGATAGGGTCGGTTTGAACCTGTCATTCAAAATGAAGGATCTTCATTTTAACAGCAACGAGGATTATATTCGCACAATACTGGAAAAAATGAAGATATACTGTGAGATGAAGAGATAGTGAGGAAGATGCTAGATTGTGCAGAAATGGATAGATTGACATTGAAAATTAAAGAGAAAGAGAATGTAGAATACTATCAAACATGGAATTTATTTTACCAATGGTTGGGGAAAAAAGGGGTGGAGATTAACAATGCAAATTTGTATTGTTAAACAAATTAAATACCCAGGCAACCCAATGTTTATTAAGCAGTAAGAAATGTATTTCATAGAAAATCTATATATAACTCTGTAAAATGGGGAAAATAAGGCTGGTGGTGGGGGGGCAGGCATAAAAGAAATAATGAATTTGCAATTTGAGAAACCGAGGAATCAAGTTATCTGAATTAGAAGTAAGGAACTTCGGTATCGTGCTGATGGTAAGGGAAAGTCCTGAAAAGTCATCAGGTTAAAAATCAAAGAAGAGATTAAAAAGCACAGAGGTGTTAAAACAAAATACGCAGTGTGAGATACTTAGTACGTGTTTACACATTATATACATATATATATATAAAACCTTTCTTGCCACAGTTGGTAGGTCCCTGCAATTGTTAAATTAGTAATGTGGTTTTTAAGTGAATCTGGCTTCCCAATGGACTTTGTTTGTCAGATGGTCGCAAAAGAGGATCATGTGCCCCAGGATGCTGCAACTGTCATAAGTACATGCCAGTTGCCAAGCCTCTGAATTTTGATCATGTGACCGTGGAAATGCTGCAAAGTGTGAAAAAACAGCTGTAAGTCACTTTTTTCAGTGCCATTGTAACTTTTTTTTTTGAAAAAAGTTTTTTATTTTTATTTTTCGTCAACATGTTTAAATGTACAGTCTTTTATCCATCTTTATCCATTATTCGTTCATCTTCTTCTTTAACTTCCATTAGGTGATTAATTAATTATTTGTTCGGGTCTGCTCTTTTACCATTTCCTTCTTTTGTTTTCCTACAACCTTTCCTTTTTCCCCTCCCTTTCTTTCTCCTCCTTTCTTTCTTCTTTCCTCATTCCTCCTCTCCTTTCCTACTTCCTTTCCTCTTTCCTCTCTCCTCTCTTCTTCCTCCCCTTCTTACCCTCTCTCCTGCTCTTCTTTCCCCTTCCTTCTTCCTCTCCTTTTCCCATTCTTGTGCCATTGTAACTTCAAATGGTCACTAAATGAATTGTTGTAAATCAAGAGAGATTACTACCTGTAATCTCTCTCTTTTTTAAAAAATCAGTTTTTAAACAAGCTTTTGATAATGCACCGTAGAACCATAAGCAGGAAAGGACTGGATCTGGATGGCGTTAAAGTTATTTGATTTGAATCTATTAATTTGTCCAATATAGTATAGAGCCCCCTGCTTAAGCATGGGGTCAGACTAGACGACCTCCAAGGTCCCTTCCAACTCTGTTAATAAGAAATCATATGCTTCCAAAGGCACTCTCAGTGTGAAGAAACGGAATAAAATTCCCAACTGTTAGATTTGTAAATATTTTCCCATAGTATGCTTGGTTTTAATTCAATTCTTGGAAAAATTTTACAAGTGATAAATAATGGGGATTACGGAAAATCGGATTTCTTAATACAGAAATAATAGGAACATCTAGATGAGATTATAGCTCGATGTTACTCAACCTTGGAAGCTTTGAGCTTTTTATGGACTTCATGATTGGCTGGGATTAGAAGCCAACACAACTTAAAGTTTCCAAGGTTGGGTAACACCAGTCTAGACATCAGAATCTCCATTTTTTGCCAACTATTTCATAAAATTTAAAGTGGTTTGACTTTTTTTTTTAAATACTAAGTCAAGATATTCAGGGATAATAATCCTTGTGAAAAAGCCAGTTAGGTTAAAAAATATTATGCGGACTCATAAAACAGTTATTTTTTTCTCTAGAATCAGGACGTAGATGAAAGTCACAATTTTGTTCCCCATGCGTGTGATTTAGCAGTAGCTCACATTTCTGTGCTTGATTTCGTTCCTCTTTGGAGAATGGTGAATACGCCAATCCCTCTATTTTTAAATAGATGTAGGAACCAAATTAATTATGCTAAGAGTTCACTACAATTAATGGGAGTTATGTTAGCCATATAAAACGTCCCATTGATTGCAATGAGTTGAAGTATGGCGACATCCACAGTCAGCCAGAGGCTGAAACAATCTAAATGATCTCCGTCCATGTGATTATTAGTTGATTTGCAATTACAGGTAGTTCTTGACTTACAACAGTTTGTTTAGTGACCATTCAAAGTTACAACGGCGCTGAAAAAAGCAACTTACGACCGTTTTTCACAGTTACGCCCTTTGTAGCATCCTCACAATCACGTGATCCAAATTCAGACACTTGGCACCTGCTTCATATTTATGACGGGTGCAGCGTCCCAAGGTTACGTGATCCTCTTTTTGCGACCATCTGACAAGCAATGTCCATGGAGGAAGCTGGATTCACTTAACAACCGGGTTATTGACTTATCAACGGCAGCGATTCACTGTGGCAAGAAAGGGACAAAATTCACTTAACAAATGTCACGCTTAACAACAGAAATTTTGGGTGTCCGTTGTGGTCCTATGTCGAGGTCTACCTGTACTGCAAAGATTAGTTTTGTCGTTTTAATTTCTTTACAGGTATACTGATCATGAGAAATAGGTCTGTAATCCAGGCAGAGATAAATAGATTCCCTGCCTGCATCATGAAAAAATTGTGTGAATTTTCCACTGGCTATCAGCAGCTTTCAAAGCCCTGTATCCAATCTCTAGGCTCTCCAAATTAGAGAGACCCTTTGGGATATTTTGCAAATCACCCAGGCTGTGATTTCTGCCTAGGGTTACAATAATGATGATAATAATAATAATCAAAAAAATTTAAATCTTAAATCCGTGATGAAATCTGCTGAGCAGAGAATGCTTTTAAGTTTGGGAATTTTTATTTACTAGTATTTTTTTTTTAAGGAAGCAGTGAGTTTTGGTTGTTTACAAACTGTTTACAGCAGCACAGGTTTATTTTTTAAAATATATATATATATGAAAACCGAGATATTTATTGCATATACTATTTTGAAAGATGTTTTAATGTGTTTTGCACCTTTGGGATATATTGTTACATTGCTGTGTACAGACTATTTGGGCGGTTCTGTTAATAGTAATTTTATGATTCCTTAAGTGACCAGTTTTTTTTTTGTGCCTTTCTATCATTGGACGCATGATTACTTATTTATTATTGTATGGAAGTCACGGAGACGTGTATTTTTGTATGCTGTTGGAAACGATAATTGACTTTATTCTACTTTTACAAGAGCCCTTCTTTTCAAGGGGGCTTATTTGATCTTCCTTCCGAAATAAACACATGCATACAAAATCCTGGTGTGTCTTTTTACCATTCCCCCCCCCTAAAGTTCGATTTAGCGGATTTAAACACCCATGGGTTCCATTTTTTTTTTTTAATTTTAAAGAAGGAGGGTTATATTTGAAGAAAGGTAAAATAATAATAAAAGGATTCAGTAGATCCAAACAGCCTGAAAGACAAGAGCAGGATGGGAACACTTAAAATTAAACGAGAAAAATGTGGGATAGACAGCGTCAACCGCCAGATGGATTTGTAGCTGGCTGACAAACTGTACTCAATGAGTAGTCCTTAACGGTGCTATGTCTACAAGGAGGGAAGTAAGCAGTGGGGCAGTAGTGATATTCATCCGGTTCTATCCGGTTCGGGCGAATCGGTAGCGGCTGCTGTGGGAGGCTCCGCCCACCCGCCTGGATGTCATCACAGCCCATTTTTGATGCTCTGTGCTCGCGCTCACATTTGCGGCAAAGGTAAGTGAATACTATCCCTGGCAGTGGGGTACCACAAGGTTCCATCTTAGGCCGTGTATTCTTCATAAAAGACATAGATGAGGGAATAGAAGGGGAACTCATCAAATTTGCAGATGAAACTAAGCTGGCAGCAATAACCAACACCCCAAATACACAAGCTCCAAAGATCCAAAACGATCTTGACAGACTTGCACAATGGGCCCTATCCAACAATGTGAAATTTAATGTGGAAAAAACAAAGGTTTTTTTTGAACAAAGGTTCAAAAATAGTAACTGTGAGAGAGACCTTGGAGACCTAGTGGAGGATCCCTGTTGTGGCTCCATTACCTGAGCCTGTGTCATCGGCAGGAGAGGACTCAGAGAGTGAAGGAGAGGAGTTGGCAAGGCCTCCCTCTCCAGGACCCTCCTCTCTGGCAATGCCTTCGGTGTCCGCCAAAGGGCAAGAGATAGGGCCGGGGCCAAGCACGTCCACGCAGCCACAGATGGACAGTGATGAGGGTAATGAGTCTTGGCTGGACCCACGCCAGCGTCGCAGAGATAAGTGCGCGCAACAGAAGAAAGGGCGTGCCCAAGATTAGGCTGAGTCACCGGACCACACCCCACAGGATATAAAAGGGAGCGTAGTGGCCAGTCAAACCTTGTGACGAACAAAGCTGAAAGCTTCCACGCCATTCTGCATTGCCGGACTTTTGCTTTAAGACTTTGCTGGAGTATCTCTGGACTTGATTAATTCCGTAATTATTGAGCTGCTTTCCTTTGATGTATCAGAAGTGGGGAGAAGTTATCTCTCCTCTTTGTAAATAATAAACTCTTGGCAGGCAGCCACTAGGTTGTTGCCAAGTTCCGTTATCATAAGGAAAAGGATTTTGCCGGCTGGTTTGGTCTTTAACTCCTGAACGTCTGTTGGTGTGTGTGCGTGGGGTTGGGGACAGAACAATCCCTTAAAAGTGAGACAGCTGTGTGCGGCAGCAGCCAGAAAACCTAATACGATCCTGGGATGTCTAAACAGAGGCATGGAATCAGGATCATGTGAAGGTTTAGTACTGCTTTGTAAATCCTTAGTAACACCACACCTGGAATGCTGCATCCAATTTTGGTCACCGCACTACAAAAAAAAAAAGACTTTGGAAAAAGTGCAAAGAAGAGCAACTAAGGTGATTAAAGGCCTGGAGATTAAAATATATGAAGAACGGTTGCAGGGATTGGGTATGGCCAGTCTAGAGACACTGCAACCGTCATAAGTACATGCCAGTTGCCAAGCATCTGGATTTTGATCATGTGACCACGGGGATGTTGTACAGGTCATAAGTGTGAAAAACGGTCTTAAGTCCCCTTTTTTCCAGTGCCATTGTAACTTCAGTCCCTAAAATGAACTGTTGTAAGTTGGGTCACATTTCTACACTGCCCATCTTAATTAAGTCAGCAACACCCAACCTTTTGGGGCTCAGGGACGGGCCCCCTGGAGGTTTTTCTGTGGATCGGAGGGGGTGTGGTTTTGCCTGCTACCTGCATTCCATGGATGGGGCTCAGGGGTGGGTTCTAAATTTTTTTACTACCGTTTCTGTGGGCGTGGCTTATTTTGTGGGTGTGGCTTGGAGGTCATGTGACTAGGTGGGCGTGGCTAGTTGGTCAGAGTCATTTCTGGAAGGTCCTCACACTTACGACCAGTCCTCGCACTTACAACCCGACTCATTTGTTTGCTTTTAACACTGATCAGCTGTAGGGCGGCCCTTTGAAGCCCCGCGGCAAGAGTTTGAACAGTTTTTTCCCCTCTAGTCATCAGCTGGGACTCAGGAGGCAGCAATAGATTGGGGGTGGGACCAAATAAAAGGTAAGAATAAAACATGGGTAGGTGGGGGGGAGGGCGGGGGGGGGGAGAACTGGTTCGGTGATGTTATATCGTCACTGCTACCGGCTTGGCCGAACCGGACCGAACCGGAGGAACCCACCACTGGGTGGGACCAAATAAAAGGGTGGGGGGGGGGGCTGGGAGGGCGTGGGAGGGGAGAACCGGTTCGGTGACGTCATATCGTCACCGCTACCGGCTCGGCCGAACCGGACCGAACCGGGAGAAACCCACCACTGATGGGGCTTCCCTTGTTTTCACGGTCCGGTTTCTGGCATGCCGCTGTTGTGGTCTGCTAGCAGCCGGTGGAGCTGGCAGGGGAGTCGGATAGTGAGGAGGCTGGGGAGGAACATGGGCCAGTCCTGGAGTCTGGGGGAGGCTCGGACAAGGGCTCTGTGTTCTCGTCCCAGCCACGCGATCATCAGAGGCTTTTTTCTTTTTAACTTTTAAAAGCATTTTTTCAGCCGAAGAAAAAATGCTTTTAAAAGTAAAAAAAAAAAAAAAGCCTCTGACGATCAGGCAACTCAGCTGGGATCATCAGAGGCTTTTAAAGGCATTTTTTCTACAACCTCTTTGGCCGAAGAGGTAGATGTAGAAAAAATGATTTTAAAAGTAAAAAAAAAAAAAAAGTTGGACATGCCCATCCAGTCACATTACCCCCCCCCCAAGCCACGCCCACAGAACCGGTAGCAACAAATTTTAGATTTCACCACCGCCTCAGAACCAGTATTTCCGACGATCAGCTGTGCCGCAGGGTTTAACTTTGCTAGAAAGCAGGAAATCCTGCTATCTAGCAAAGCTAAATCGCGCGGCACAGCTGATCCCCCCCCCTCGCTGTTCTACTTACCTTCCCAAGCCTCTTTTTGGCGTGTACTGTGCACGCAATGCACACTTGGCGTGTAGCACGCATACGCGACCAGCAATCCAGTAGCAAACCGGTTCAGATTTCACCGCTGCTTTTGGGTTGTTGTTGAAGTAGTTAAGTGTGTTGGGGCAACATGTTTTCTTTTCTCTCCTCCTTTGTTTAGGTTATTACAAAACTTAAATACATTTTGTTGTGCCAATACATCACTTGTGTAGCCTGATTTGAGACTACTAACTGTTCAACTGCAGGATGTCCAACCTTGAGGACTTTTAAGACTTGTGGGCTTCAACTCCCAGAGTTCCCTAGCCGGGAGTGGCTACTCCTAATCCCATAGAGCAGAGGTCTTCAAACTTGGTAGCTTTAAGACTTGTGGACTTCAACTCCCAGAATTCTCCAGCCAGCATTGCTGGCTGGAGAATTCTGGGAGTTGAAGTCCATAAGTCTTAAAGCTGCCAAATTTGGGGACCCCTGCCATAGAGGTAGTGAATGAGTTCTGAGCGTGTCTGCTTGTAGAGATCCCAAAACTGACATTGTGATTATCTTTAGGCTATTTTCTATTCCAGAGATCTCCAAAGTTGGCCACTCTTCAAGACTTGTGGACTTCAACTCCCAGAATTCCTTGCACTGGCTAGGGAATTCTGGGAGTTGAAGTCCTTATACCTTCAAGTGGCCAAGTTTGAAAAACACAGCTCTAGATTCTTCTCCAGTCTTAAAGGGCCCCCGAAGATAGACAATCCCATTTTATTGCTCCAGAACCGATTGCTTAAAATAGGAACATGGTTTATTTGGTTCACCCAAACCTGCAAACTCGGTTAATTTGGCTTCTTCAAACTGGAGTAAGGCTGCAGAGGGCACCCCAAGAGGGAAAAAAAAAACCTGCAAAATTTTCGTGTGTTTGCATTTGAGGAGCCTCAAACCCCTTCTGCCTCTTGCAGCACCCAAAACCATCTCCCCTGAGTAGCAATAACAATCTTCGGGTTCAGCAGCCCCCCAAATAGCACTTGGTCTTCTCTCCAGGGAGTTTTTTTGGGGGGAGGGGGGCGGGTTTCCAAACTGGGGAAGGATTTCCTTTCCGTGCTCATCCATTTGTGCCGCAATAAAGGAGAATATTTGTAGCTGAGGGTTGACATGAGGGGTCCTTGGTGCTCTCTGAGCTTGTTTTCTTGCAGACGTTTCATGATCCAACTAGGGAACATCATCAGTGCTAGGAGGGAGTAATGGTTGCTGGGAGAGGGAGGAGGAGGAGGAGGAGTGTGAGGTTCCTCAGTGCTCTCTAAGCTTGGTGGTTTTCTTGTAGACCTTTCGTGACCTGACATGGTAACACCATCAGTGCTGGAAAAGAGGAGGAAGAGGAGAGGGAGAGGAGGAGGAGGATTGTAGGGTTCTTGGTGTTCTCTGAGCTGGGTGGTTTTCTTGTAGACCTTACATGACTTGACTCGGTAACACCATCAGTGCTGGAAAAGAGGAGGAGGAGGGAGAAGAGAAGGAGGAGGAGGAAGAGGAGGAGGAGGAGGGAGAGGGAGAAGAAGGAGGAGGAGGAGAAGAGAAGAAGGAGGAGGAGGGAGAAGAGAAGAAGGAGGAGGAGGAGGGAAAAGAGAAGAAGGAGGAGGAGGAGGGAGAAGAGAAGAAGGAGGAGGAGGAGGGAGAAGAGAAGGAGGAGGGAGGAGGAGGGAGAAGAGAAGGAGGAGGAGGAGGGAGGGAGAGGAGGAGGAGGACTGTGGGGGTCCTTGGTGCTCTCTAAGCTGGGTGGTTTTCTTGCAGACCTTTCACGACCCAATTAGGTAACATCATCAGTGCTGCAAGGGAGTTGGGTTGACAGGGAGCAGGAAGAGGA